ACACACCATGATACGAAAATATATTGTGTGAGGTTCAAAAGAGGATATTCGTGTAATTCGGTTAATTACTCCGAGACGACTCCACTCAAACATTATAATAAACATTATTAATCGATAAAATGTTTCGAGTACGTCTTGAATTTGATATTAATGTGTTTCTGATGTTCAATCAACATACGAACATAACCTAAAAATACTGAGAATAATATAACCTAGAATTTGAAATTAAAATGATGTGATGTGTAATTTTAATTAGTTGTCAATGTTTCTTTCGTATGTTAGGTTATCTAAGGTTAGCTTTAAAATGGCACTAATTGGCAACGTGCGAAATGTGCAAATGTGCACAAGATAATCGTGATTATCGCGATCGTGAGCGTCGAATTCCGCGCGAATTCGATCTGTGGAGTCTCGCCACTTTTCGCTTGTCTGTCGTTTCGAGAATGTTTGAATTTTTTTTGGTGAAGCGAACAGCGCACACCGCCGCGCCGAGTCGTGTGACCCACGGACCTATTTCTCTATTTCTCTACATACCCACTGGACCTTTTACCGACGCACAGCATACGAATAAACCTTCACTTTAGCCCAATCAACGAAATTAATAAAATAAACAAAACAATTAAACACTACAAGTACATTCCAACCATTCTAAGCGAATTAAAATGGCCGCTGTGACCCAACTTAAAATTTTACTGCTTGTATCTAGGTATCTTAGCTGGAAGGAATGTCAGGAATGCATTTTTTACGTCTACTTCGTCGACAATGTGATTTTTTATTCGTTCGGCTCGTGGACATGCAAAACAATTTGTTACACGTCGCGCACCCGCTGTAAATCTGTTGTAGTTGAAGTGTGCCGCGCGTTTCAGCGAAACGAGTGAAATATCGATACGGACTTTTAGGTCAGCGGTGTCATAACGTCCTTATTTAATTGTTACCTGTTCATATTTCATATTGCATATATTTTACAATTTGGCACACTAGGATAATTCAATTATTCATCTTACAATAATTGTTTTCACGTCGTTGAGTTCAGATAAATAGCAATTTGTTTATGATGTGTTGATGTCGATTTACAATTAATTTATTATCTTGTTAGCTTGTTTAATAATCGAAGAAAATTTCATATTTTGAATTGTTATTATTAATTTAATCATTATAATTAGTAATTTCTCGTAAAATTAAATTTATATTGCTTTGACATTTTGACCTTTGATTTTATGGTTATGACACTTCAATTTGCACTTTGTGCGCAACGCTTTTGTTTATTTTTGTTCATTTTCGAAGATGATGTTAGGCAGCTTGAAAAAAATTACTAAAAACCAGTTGGATTCGTGTTTTACTTGTACATAAAATAAAATTAAGTAAACCTGTTAGGAGTGTAAGTATTTTTAGGCACATTTCGTTTACTTTCAATGTTTTTTTTTTCGTATTTCGCAGCCAAAAAACATGAAAACATTTTGCGTTTTCACTTTTCATGCAATTTTTAAGTATTTTTAGCAGATTGACACATACAAAATGACAAATCATGCAATTTAATAAGCGAAAAATACGAATGTGAGTTTGTTTGTTTATGTGTGACGCTTTCACGCAATAATCCTAAAACCAATTTTGATAAATTTTAGTAAAGAGATATTTTTGACCAAGGAAAAGCAAATAAACTACTTTTTATCGGAAAAATATAACCAAAAAGATGTAAAATAATATTTTAAAAAACGGTTTAGAGATTTAATGATAGCTATAGTTATCTAGATGGCGCTAATGTACATTATAAATATTTTTCTGCAATAAAAAGAACAATTTTAATATTTACACTCTTTAAATGCAATTATAAGATATTTTTAGAACTAATTATTGATAATTTTCTACATTTTCCGACCTATAATTATAATTACAACAATATACTTATCTTGTTACGATAGTTATGTTATTATAGAATTAAGAGCAAATACCTTGATAGATGTCGATAAAGTAAAAAAGGAAGCGGATATTTCTCGTCAAAGTAAACGCTTAGATTAATATAATGACTGCAATCAATAATTATATTTATCGAAGAAGAAATGTACATTCAATTTAATTACACTGCAATCTTAAGCAACTTAAATAGATTTAATTCGATAATCTATGCTCTAGACTTAATGATTATGTAAATATCGGTAGTAATATTGTTAAACGAGTAATTTTACTGGTTGAATAACTTTTTTCATCTTTAAATTCACACGTTAACAAAATAAAATTTCTACTACCAGATAATAATAATATTAATTAATTTCTTTTACTTTGATGCAAATCGCAATAAAATTAATATCTGATAATAAAATAATATTTAAATGAATAAATAAATTATTTGTGAAAATTATTATTTTTATCTATTACTTTATTTTAATTTGTGTTCAATGTGATAAAGTAATGATTTATTAATAAAGGCGCGATGAGTGAATAGCGAACGAGTGAAATAAAAGGCGTCTCGGTCGTTAAATATTGAAATAATTGAAATATATTTCTATCAGAGCACAACGACTCCGATAGAGATTATATTACCCAAGGAATTAATCCTAGAGCCGACTATAGAATTACTTACGTCTTGGAATTGTTTAGTTTACTTCGAGTGCCACTGTTGTAATGATTTGTTTAATTCTTTAATTGCTATTATCGTGTTTGATTAAATGCATGTTTTTATGTTATAAAATATATCACGGTTGGATGATTAAACCATTACGAGAAACAAATAAAAACAAAGTGCGTACATATTATTATAGTTATCATAAAATTATTATTAGAAAATTAGGTCTAGACTAAATATATTGGCGGTAAGAATAAAATTTTCATGTTTTTTTTAGTTATTTGCCAATAACTAGAAAACTATTTACGTTAGAATAATGATTTCTTCAAGAACATATTTAGAATTAAATTCTTTATCATAATATATAAACGTTAGTTTAATCAGATAATTCAATTAAAAGTTATAAACAATTTAGATGGAATGTTTTTTTAAATGTTAAAATCGGTAAGATTTATTATCTTTTAATTTAATATTTGTTTTATTAAATTAGCATTATCAGTTTTCGCGTGTATAAATAATAACAATAATAACTATCAGGCAGTTATCATACTAGATAAAGTCATTACTCACTAACTAATTGTTAATTGATAAAAACGTGACTCTTTCAAAAATGTAAACATACGTTCAATTTTAATAAACATAAAATTGTGCAATATTTAAACAATTTTAATTACAAACAAATATCAAAAATTATTTAAGAAAAATTTTAAGTTTTCTTCCTGATAAACTATTCGCAACTTTTCTTCATCACTAAAAAACCTTTAAATACCTAGTTGATTAATTGAAAGAATTTTGGCTAGTGCAGTTTGTTTTCACAACTTTTTAACTAAGCGCCTCATTAAATATGCGGCTATAAATAATTTCAGTCTGCGCTTTGTTTCACCCGCCACACGCCGAGCAATTTCCAAATTTTCAAGGTTTTCCAGCTAAATATAGCAACGATTTAATTTAAGAATAACTAATGTAACGACATCTTCAATAGCCAACAATTATCTACATTTAGTAAATATTTGTTATTAAAGCGTTAAAATTAAAAATCAAGGAAAAGAAAAGAAATAAAAAATAGATAATCACCGAGTACAAAATGTGTACGTAATGTTTAATCATCTGTTTACGTTTTTATAACAATCTGAAACACGATTGCAGCACGAATGAACTCTGTTCGCCGTGAATTACAGTCGTACAATTTGCACAAAAACAAAACACATAACAAACATTTTAATACCGAATGAAACAAAATAAAAATTTAAAAATAAAATTTTTATATTTATTTTTTTTATATTTAGTGGATAATTAAATATTTATTAGTGTATTCTTTAAGTTTAAATTGTTAATATAAAATTATTGCAACACCCTGTATAAAGTTTTTTGGCGCTTTGAAGATTCGCAAACCTGTGTATCCCATGAAGATGCGATTTCCGTATCGAATTGCAATATATATCAAATTGCGTCTTCCTCCATCCAGCGCTTCTTCGCGCACACACCTTGGCGCACAAAACAGAAGCCTGAAAGAAGCATCAGCGGCGTCGCGCGTCGCAATATATTTTTTGTTACATTATAGAAAAGTGGAGCCAATCGAGCGCCGCGACAACCACCTGCGGCTCGATTCTGTTGTTCATTACTTAAGTCCAAGTTTAATTGACGTGACGCTTCGCGGCTCGAAATGAATCGCGGCTTAAATAAAGCGGAAAGTCAACCGCCGCCAACGTGTGCATCAAAACACAACTAATAATTTCGATCGCTTCTTACATCATATTAAAACATGCGTTTTGTTGCGTCTTGCATGATTGAAGTTCATCAAACGGAAGAAGAAGCACACGATTAGGTTATTAGAGATTATATATTGCGCCATTCCAGCGTCTATCAACGTCCATCAAAAATCGATTCATATTAAGAAGCCTTCATCAATATGTTACCGGCTTATTAGCGGATTATAATGTCTGTCGGCGAGTGCAAAAGACTTTTGAGGCTTTGAGCGGTACATAATTGAATTAAATTGAAACATTTTAAGCAAAAGTAAAATTAAAGTGTTCAATCATCAAAGAGATATTGTGTGATTGTGTGAATGACAAAAGTTTGTATAGAAATTGAAAACATGGAGAATTTGTACGCATCGTGAAGACTTGCACTTTTGCAACATGTTATAAAAACGCATTGAACTATTATATAACAATTTGATTCAACTCAACCTGCTTTGAACTCTTCTTCTTTGAGCAATGCGCATCAATCTGATTGATGTAAGAGTTCGATCACATTTAAAATCGAACATAACCTCAATTTGATTTAAAATCGCGCACCAAATGTTCGTTGAGATAAGATTGTATATTATCGATAACTGGTTGAAATGTTGATAATGAAATTTTGAATGTCAAGTTCCAATTGGATTTACACACATTAAATAAATTAAGTTGTTTGCATAAGAAAAAAAATTAATAAAACTCACCATGCATTGTGGAATGATCCGCGCTGGAACAAATCGACTCGAAATCCTTCTTTAACTCGTCGTAGGTCGCCATCCTCGGCACATAAAATTTATATATCGCGATATAAACTACCCAAATCTGTCCTTGCGAATTGTCTTATCTGCAAACCGTTGTTTGCGCGTTTTCTTATCGACACGCGTTCTTTGCATTCAACCACGCCGCGCACAAATTTCTTGTCGATAAAACAGGGAGTCACGATGCTAGCAATTGTTTCACAGCAACAATTCAGTCGTCTCTAGCTCATTACAAATATCGATGATTATTGTAACCGTTGCAAGTGCATCAACCAAACGCGTTGTACGCACAGCAACGTTTTGCTTCAATCAGTTTAAAAGTCAATTTAAAGTGTTAAGCGTGTCCATGTTGGCGCAATGAATACAATATTCACGTTTAATTAAATGATTGTTGAGGGTTGAGTACTTGCAGTTTGGATGCGGTGTGGTCAAGTGTCGAAGCACATGGTCGGAAACGGGCTGCAGTCAGTCAGGTATGCGTGAGCGGCGATGAACGTTAGTGAAGTGTGGCGGAGTGCGTTCGCGCTCAGGTGCAAGATCTTCGGACGCGCGCAGCGTTGACTCGCGTTGAAAAAGTTTAGCGCGCGCGCGGCATGCGCGTTGTGTTCAGCCGGTCGGTTCGCGCGCACACTCAGACGCAAACTGGCTTGGCGTACGAAACGAACAGCGAACGGCTACGACTACTCAACCTGGTCGTTGCGTGTAGGTAGGCGCAAGTTGCACTCGTGAAATATTAAAACAGGATTACTACACGAAGGACTTTATGGGTTTCAAGTCCAAATAAAAAATTTCAACGAGTAATTGCTTACACTTCACAAACAATCACAAAGCATGAAATTAATTTATGCATTTCTGTGATACTTCTTTTATAATTTCACTAATTTCACTGAAAATGAGAAAATTAGAGCAAATTTTTTTTACTTTTGTTTTCACTAAAATCAATCAGATTGGGATTATCTAGCAACAACTTACATTATAACACATCCAAAACAACACACATACACGTTTCGTTGTCTCGTGCGTCTGCTAACTCGTATCTTTAGCAAGAATCGTTGAATAAAAATGTGAACGAACTCTTACCGGTTGATGCAAAAGCTTGCCAATATTTTCGACAACTTTCGCCACGCAAGTTCACAGCCACTCTCATCCACTCTCGAACGCGTGTGCTAATGCAAATAAAGAAATTAATAAGTCGTTAATTATATATCCAATGTAAATATGTACTTCAAATGTCTTAAGCGTCACAAAAATTATTTATAAAAAGTTAAAAATTAAGAAAATATTAAAATGAATCTATTAAAACTAGTCTGAATCAGATTCGGTCGATGCTAATTCTTGAATGGTATTTCCATTTGTTTTATCATGACACACTTGAAGTTCTTGTGATTCTGCGATGTTTGACTCTTCGTTATTTTCGGAATTTAACAAGAGTGTAATTTTAGTGTTGAGTTTGATGATATTCGCTGATACTTTTGAATCACGAAGTCTCTGCAACAATAATTAATTTAATACAAGTTGTGAAATTGCAATATTTAATACAAAAAAGTCAAAAATTGTAGTTTATAAATTTGAATACAAGCAAAAACTGTACTTACATCTCGTAAATCGTCCAACTTTTCAACCAAATCGCGAAGTTCTTCTTTATCATTTGAAAATTTCAATAACAACATTACTTTCGAAAAAACAGCGTTGTTCACATTATTTGGTTTGTCACGAATTTCCTTGATGAAAGCAAGTGCTAATGTATGATGGATTTCCAACCCCTGCAAATAAAGCATAATTAATTTAATTTTCCAACATTTTAAATTGTTTCCAATTGTTATACATTTTCATATTGACTGCAAATCTCAAACAAAAGTCTCGCAAGAGGATCAATGTCCACGTTTGACAGAGGACTGTTATGTGGCGCTTTCAAGATGATTTTTAAAGCTGGAATTATTGCTTTCTCCAGCTGAGTCGATGAATTCGGAATGTAGGGAAGTTTTCCCAAAGTTATTCCAATATATTGTTGCAATTTAATTGATTCAGGTTCTATAAAACACAATTATTTGTATTAAACCAAGAATTTAAATATGTTCATCACTCTCAACTTACCTGAACACGTTGGCAACACGAATTTAACTATTAAACGTGAGATTACCGCATGAGAGTAAATTCGTGACGTTAAAACAAAGTTACAAATACCACGACAGGCCAATTCTTGAAGTTTTACATTCTACAATTAAATCAGATTAAAATTACAATATAACTTGAAATATTTACACTTACTTCATCATTGAAAATCTCTAAAATTTCTTTGATAATTCCTGATAGTGAAATGCCTCCGGAAAACACTTCGTGATCTTCTTCACTGACCAAAAGCGACTCTGCATGGCTCGTGTCTGCTGCAGTATTGTTATTCGCCAATAATTTCGTACCAAACAACATTAATGAATCCACAACGATGCCGATACAAATCCAAACCAAATCCGCTGGTGGTGGATTCTGCGCATTCCTATTATGCGTCATTATGATGGCGCAGCAAGTAGGAAGCGCAATCTTGGCCGTGTGCTCATCCAGAGTGCAACACAGGGCTAAACATCTCATTGCCAGAATTTTCACAGACATATTAGTCGAAAGAATCATTTCATCGATAACATTCACTTTAAATGTGGCAACAATCGAATTTAACGTGCGGATTTTCGATGAAGTCAAAAAGCCAGCCATAATCGTCAGTACCTTTTTCATTAAAATGGGATCTTGTACTTTTTCACGCCGAGTTTGGCTGTCGTGTTCAGTTTCTTCTTCTTCTACAACACTTTCTTCGAGTGTTTCCGGTATTTCTTTTGGTTTGATGTTCAATAACTCTTTGAATTCTTGTTTGGCTGCGTCTACAAGCGGTTTCAATTCGCTAGCTTTTAAATAATCTTGTCTGCGAACGGCTTCCTCCATTTCACCCTCTAACATTACACATTTCAGCTTCAGTTTGTTAATAGCTTGTTCTTCTTGCATAGTATGAACTACTTGTGGAGGAGGTAGTTGGAGTTCTTCAACTGGAGCTTCGGTCACTTTAGTAACATTCGCAATACTTGATAATTCAGTAGCGTTTTTCCCGTCGTCAGGATCTTGTGAATACATTAAATCTCCGGTAATATCACAAATATATTTGGATTGATCGTTAATACTCGGAAGAACAATAGTTAAATTCTCAATCATAACTTTAACCACTTCCAGGTCCAGATTGTATGTTTTCAAAATTCTTTCAATTAATGCACACATTGTTTTCTTACAGGAAATATCAACATAGTTGTAATCCATAGTCAAATGAAAGAGTTGTACCAGAATAAATTTAAATTCCAGGTGGGCATTTGTATATTCTTCATTAAGATTAATTTTGTTTTGACTATAGATGCAATATCTTCAAAAAATCATTCAAGTAATTACTTAAAACATCTCATTACAATAAAATTAATCATGTTAAATACTCACTCTTCAATGTACTGACAAAGTTCAGGAAGCTGTGGTGCATAATCCTCGATGGCAGTGCCATTAGTCCTCCGTAAATGTTGAATGAACAAACGCCAGAACAAAGCAGAATCATAGTTGAGATTCTCAAACTCAATCAGCTTCTTATCATTCAGTGTAAGAACTTTAACCAATTCCTCTGCAGGACGAATAACAAAAAGTGTGGTGACAATATATTCGCACACAGATGTAGTCGTATCCAAATCGGTCCAAGTGGAATCAAGTCGTAATCCGCTCATATATTTTAAATAATCAAACTCATAGTGTTGTAACCATGCAGGAATCAGAACTTCAGTCATAAAAGTTTGTAATAAACGGTCTGGATCTTTAATCGCACCATGTACCAATTGTTGTTTATGAATAATCTGAATTTGTGAACATAAATATAACATTTAATGAAATTTTGATGAAATAATGTTTAAAATTGTTGTAAATACCTTAAATTTGTTGGGATACTTTGACGCACGCTTGTACACTGCTAGTTTTACTTGTATGTCAATATCTCTGCTTGTTTCAAGTAGATACGGAATGTTTTCCCTCTTCAATCCAATCTTTTCAGCGCAAACCCTCCTTACACTGGCAGATGGATCATACTCCATGTGATTGATATAAGCAGTAATAATTGGACAATGACTGTTCTCCATGTCTTGCAGGGGAGTGAGAGCAACAGCAGCGAGCATTCTTACCTTAGCAAGTTTATCCTAATAAATAAACGTATTTTTAATAAGTTACATTAAGTTTTACTTGTCAATGAAGTACTTACCTCCATTAAAGTAAGAAGACAATCTTGCACAGCATTGCAAAACTCAACAGTAACATCATACCCTATTAAATCATGGAATATTTTGCAAATAAACTGGCAAGATCTTACACGATGATTGTCTGACTCCAGGTTAGACATCTACAAAGTTCCTTTTTGGTAATATAATGCACAATGTAAGTTAAAACAAAAACTTACCTCAATTAGAAAATTAACCAAAGATGTAACAGCAGGTGCATCTGTATCTGGGTCAACATTTTTCTGATGATGATCATGAACCACAGTACAAAAGCTTGCAACAAATGCAACTGATCGATCCGCAAATGGATTTGGAAGTCTGTAATCTTGTTTTAAACATGAATGCACACATTTCTTCATACATGTCATGAATTCATTAAACTCCACATCCTGTAAGAAATTATAGAGTTGCATTATAGACTTATAGACTTAAATTAATGTTGAGTTGATATATACTTCACTCTGCATGATAGCTTTCAGTTGTTGAGCTCCCTTTGAATGCGTCGCTGAATTTCGATGTGCGTTGGTAAAAATATCAGCTATTCGCTGGAATAACATCGTGTATATTGAGCACTATACTTATAATATATAAAATATGGTTTAAAAATATTGAAGAAACACGATTCTGAAGTTCTATCTCTGTAGATTTAAAATAACGGTTTACGTTCTATTGGTTAGGTTTTTAAAAAGCTGGCGTCGCAAGCGTAAAGTGTTCGTGTGGGTTCGTAATACAACGTATTTGAATAAAATGTATTTGAAAAGCATTTATTTTATTGTATTTGCTAAAAAATTGTTAAAGTATAATATAATAATAAAGTATTTGTAAATAATTTTAATTTATATTTGTTGCAAACATGTTTGGTTTAAAATTTCTCAATTTACCGATGAAATCCGAAAAACGCCACTTTAGTTAATACAATTCCCGCAATTCAAATGTGATAAACTAACAGCACCATATATCATTTAAATACATTTAAAATTAAAATAAATATATCTAAAACCAATTATATTAAATTATATTAATTTATTATAGTAGTTTTCACAATTGTATATTAGTTTTTACAAAGATATTTGTAAGTTTTGTATTGAATTTTGTCTGACATTCTGCTATCTGTCAAAATTACCCATGTTGCTAGATGTGTTATGCATGCAACTTTCACAGCTGTGTCATTGAGCGCGAGTCGGCCGCAAACTCGCGAGCGTTGCTGTCAAAAGCCCAAAACATTTCCTGTGTTTTCCCAGCATTTCCAATCATAACATTTTCTTACATTCCTACATGTTTCCACATTGCGACAGCCTCATCATCCGTGTCCGGCAATCCGCTTTTGCGAATGGCACCTTGAATGCCACACGTCGTTTGTGAAACAGTGAAATAATCAACAAACGAATACGAAACAAGTTAGACCAGCATTAGTAGCGTGCTGGAGGAGTGTACAGCCCAGGATTAATTACATCCCGTTGCTGCGCCAGCAAGTTAATGTAGGTAAGTTCTGTTTAAGCTATCATTTTAATTCATCAACGTCTCATGGTTTGCATGTGTCTGTATCGCGTGACGTCTCGCGATCGTCATTTGTTGATTGATAAACACACTGTTTCTATTGGTTGTTGCCACGCATTCGCCATACGTCTTTCTATTTCTTGTATATTTTATTATTTATCACTTAGAACGTCGCGCGTCGCGATGATATGACGGTGCAATACGCGTATATTTAATATTCATGAGATTCACGATGAATCGTCATTACCGAGTAATTCGTTCGCCGGCAAATTTTAGCGATAAGTAATCATTGTTAATGAGGTGATGCTAAATATCGTGCCGGTGTTAATTTGCTAAGAGGCAGCGATAAATCGGCATTAATTGCATTAATTAACTGGCCAGTTGGACAACGCTTTTGTTTCGCGTCCAGTAAGTGTGTAAGTAAACACCATACGTGTGTATGACTTCGACAAATTATGCTGTTCGGCTACTCTGTGACGATTTGCATAATAAAAGTCGATTACGAGATTGTAATATGCCATTGTATGCTTGCGTTTCTAGCGTGTCACGTTTTGTCTGACGCTGACGGCGATCGTATTACTCGTTTGTTTACTATCGCATGCTTTTGTTTTCGATATCTGCCCCGAACCAACCGAAACTGCAGCAAAACAGTTGGAGTTTTTTCAATGACGATATTATTAGGCGCACGTTTTATGCATCGTCATCGGTGATTTTTCGTTATTGAGATAATCGCAAGTCGGATGAAGCACGAGTGTCTCCGCTTTATGTTATCGCGTGCAGTGATTAGTCTAATCAATGTTAAGTCCAGCACAAAATGTTATAAACTTTCCGAGTAATGCACACGCCAGTCTCGTGATGTTAATGGTGTCAACTAAAATGTATTTAGTGTTTATCGTAGAAATAATAATGTCAGACCAAACATTCGGATGGTTTCATTGTTTTTTCTTAGGATTTTTTTATTATTCAATGATATCATTCGATTTAATACCTTAACGTTTACACAACTAATACACTTGACCTTTTTTGTTATTCAAGGCTTGTTATACAAAGTTAACATGTCATTAATTCAATAAAAACTAAATATTCAGTAAGTTTAAGCTAAGATTGTAGATATTTTTATTTATTTGCATTTAGTTCAAGTAGGGCTTCGTTTTGAGAGCGTTATTTATTGGTTTTGACAGGGAAACAATCATCTAAATATAACTTTGTCTCTAAATTGTTCTAAATTGATAAGAATGATTTGAAACATTGTTTTTCTAAAACATTTATTTATTTATACTGCCATTTCAAATTTTACCGGTAATTGTTTACAACGTCTATTATATAAATGTCGAGTCATTGTGTTTAAACCACATGCGGATAATAAACAAAAGTTATTTATGTAAGAAAATCGCAAGGCATTAACTGGCGTTGCATTTTGCACTATAATGCTGCGGTGCATTTCAACTATTACAAGGCATAATTTTAATGTCCTGCTTTTATCACGAAGATACCTCCGTGTAAGTTTGCATACACCACACTATAATACGCAGATATCACGTGCAAACATACTACGTTGCTATGGAAACTGTAAATAAACAATCTTTTGGGAGCAGTGCACTTGTACCGCTCCTCAAATGTTGATTTTTTGATACTTAAGAAAGATTACATTATATTTTAGTGAGTATTTTTCACTAACGTCAGAGCGGAACATTTTAAAGTGTTATTAATTATTATTAAAATTGAGAAACGGCCAATGTTCAAGTTCAAGTTGGGAATCTCGAGTACAAGCCGCGTAACACGTGCTTACGAATCTTTTTTTGTGTGGATTACCTAAATATTAACATGTGTGAGTAACGAACATGAACACTTTTCGAGAGCGCAAAGTTCACACAAATAAATAATTGAGATGATGACAAATTTATTGATAATAAATGTTGAGATAACGCATGAAATCTTCTCACAAGTAAGTTCGAAGTTTAATTGCGTAAAAAAAGTTGATTTTATGTGCAAAATGTTTTTAATTGATTTTATTACGCCTCCCTTCCGCTTTTTCTTTTGGTAGTTTAAGTTTATGCTCGGCTGACTTGACGAATTTTGTATTTATTCCCGACATGTGCGCGGAAGCCCCCCGCAGTATTTCACCTCGCGCGATGTAAAGGTGCAAGTCATGCTGACAAGTGTAACGCGTGCTTAGCGTGGATTGTTGTGTGTGAATTGAGTTTGCATAGCGCGGAATTTCCGCTAATTGCCGAAAAAATGCGCGCCGATCATAACTCAAGCAGACGTGAGTGGCAACACAAGTGGCAACTTTAAAACTAACAAACGTGATAATTTAAAACAAACTTTGGCGACTTAAACATCTTTGGAAAAATGTTGTGTCATGTCTAGCATCTTATTGTCATGTTAGTGAAGTGTGATCGAGTGCGATTGCGTTTTTAACTTGTTTCTAGAGTGTTTAACTAAGATGGTTATGAGAATCTTACCATTTCCGCATCGGATCGATCCGTTCGATGTGTTGTAAGTTTACTTTATCAAATGCTTTATTGTGTGTAATAATTTATGGTCGATTGCATTTTTATCACGCTTGCTTACTTAGTAGGCAGGCTTTTCCTGCGTTGAGCCGCGATGTGATTATGAACAAATACGCAAGTCACTTGCAAAAACAGCCGCACCTGCGCGTCGAGGCATTTCATTCGCGCGTGTTAAATAAATTATACCTAGTTTGCTTTTATTGCATTATTTTTACTTAACGAAAATATCTATTACGTTATGTATGTGCGGTTTTATTAACACTCGGACTTTCAAAGTGGGCGGAGTGTCTGCAATTGCGTATTAAATTTACTTTGCTTTTATTTTATATCTTGAAGGAAAAATGATTTAATGTGTAGTCAGAAGTGCATCATGTTGACATCGACAATGGTAATATTATTATACAATTTTGTTTTACAAGGAAATGCAGCGCAATATTTGGCAGCAATAATGTTGCATGGATTTTATTTTTGGCTGTGTTGCAAAAATGCGATCCAAGTTGGCCAAGTTTACCCAGAGCACAAACGTGCGCATATTGTGTGTTTATAACGCAATCATTATCATCGATTCAATAAGATTTCTCGGAAACGTGATTGATAAGTGTGTAAAGTTCCGTTCCGGTTGATGATTTGCAATTTTTGATAGATAAACTTATATTATCGATAAGTTTGAAATAGAAGTGTGTAATATACTGCATAGAAACTCATTGTCTGCTGTTTGCTTACAGAATGGACGGTGAAGAAGATGTCAGTTATTATTGCACGAATCTCTGGGAGACGATGCATAAGAAGCCGCCGCCACATGAGATGACGCGACAGGCGTCCGGGTGTAACTCTGACCTGGGTGATATGTGCTTCATGATGGTGGAGTATATCAAAGATGCCATGAAGGTAATATTAAATTTATATTGTGTACATAATGAATTATTTGTTTTTAATTATTGTTTATATTATATTAGGCTATGGATATGATGCGAGGACATCATATGCTCACCGATGTAGTGTTGCAAGTGGAGAGCGAATTATTTCACGCGCATCGCGTGATTCTAGCCGCAGCTAGTCCGTATTTCAAAGCGATGTTCACCGGCGGGCTGCGTGAGTCCGACATGGACAGGGTGACGCTGCAGGGCGTCTCGCCGACGGCGATGGGTCGTCTCATTCACTTCATGTACACGGGACGTATTCGCGTCACGGAGAATACTGTATGTCAGTTATTGCCTGCTGCCACCATGTTTCAGGTACTTTACTTTGTTGCGATAAATAAAATGTGATTTTTATTAATTAATTGGAATATTATAGGTGACGAATGTGATTCAAGCATGCTGTGATTTCCTCGAACGGCAACTTGATCCGAGCAATGCAATTGGTATTGCAAATTTTGCCGAACAGCATGGGTGCAATGAGTTGTGCAAAAAGGCCAATCAATATATTGAACGCCATTTTATTCAAGTACGTTAAGCTTAAAACTTTAAAACTTGTTTTTCATAAACTTATCTTTATAGATATGCCAAGAAGAAGAATTTCTGCAACTTAGTGCTATACAATTAATCACACTGATTAAAAAAGACGAACTCAACGTACAGGATGAGATGGAAGTGTATGGGGCGGTACTGAAGTGGGTGAAATTTGACGAAGAGAAACGGCGGAAGCGCATGGAGGCGATTCTCAGCGCCGTGCGCTGTCAGTTCCTGACGCCGCGATTTCTTAATGACCAGATGACTAATTGCGACGTGCTGCGGAAGACGCCCGCATGTCGCGAGTACCTCGCGCGTATATTTAAGGACCTAACGCTGCATAAACGCACTGTAGTGAAAGAGCGTACGCCAAACACACCGAGGATTATTTATATCGCTGGCGGGTATTTTCGACAGTCGCTGAATGTTATGGAAGGATACAATGTGGACGATAAGACGTGGCATCAGCTGGATCAGCTTACAGTGGCGAGAAGTGGGTTAGGTGGTGCCTTTTTACGCGTAAGTAAAATATATCCTACGAAAACAAGCTTTGTACTTTTAACATGTTTATTTTGTGTATTAGGGTAATTTTTATGCAGTTGGTGGGCGTAATACTACACCAGGCAATAGCTACGACAGTGACTGGGTGGATAAGTATAATCCGACGAGGGATCAGTGGCGTGCGTGTAGTCCAATGTCAATGCCACGAAATCGTGTAGGGGTTGCGGTAATGGACGGTCTGTTGTACGCTGTAGGCGGGAGTGAAGGTACAAAATATCACAATAGTGTCGAATGGTAAGTTTTGAGACCAAGAAACTTCTGAATGAAATTAAACGATTGTTTTCCTTTAGTTATGATCCTGATTTTGATCGTTGGTCTACAATCCAACCGATGCATTTCAAACGCCTCGCAGTTGGCTGTGCAGTAGTGAATCGCCTTCTCTACGCAATCGGAGGTTTTGACGGTGAAATGCGCCACAATACAGTAGAATGTTACCATCCTGAAAATGACGCCTGGACAATGGTGCGACCAATGCACACGATGCGCAGCGGCGCGGGCGTGGCCGTCATCAATCAATTCATCTATGTGATTGGCGGTTATGATGGCTCCAAGCAGCTCAGCACTGTCGAACGTTACGACACTGAGAAAGACCTGTGGGAGTTTGTGAGCAGCATTCGGATAGCGCGTTCGGCGCTCAGCGTCACTGTGCTTGACTGTAAGATATACGCGATGGGTGGTTACGACGGGCAGAACTTTCTGGCCACCGTTGAGGTGTACGATCCTGCGACTGACACTTGGGTGGACGGGGATCCGCTCACTTCGGGACGCTCTGGTCATGCAAGCGCTGTGTGTTATCAGCCTTGCATGCAAAACTGTTCAATGGGACCCGAGGTGGCGAATGTAGCAAACGTCAATAACAGATCGCCAGCAGGTAACGCCAGCGTTAGGGCGTTACTTACTGGCGCTAACGCACACTCCTCGCTACGCTGACGTTTTGCTACGATTGCAGATATATTCGTTGATTTACTAGAGCATTCGAGCTGAATGTTTATGCGAAAGCGCCGAAAATAATTCCAAATCATTCCAAAAATTGTACAAAATTTCAACAAAAACGCGCTGCATTTAAACCTAAACAAATCGGATGGACAAAATTGAGTACAAATATTATGATTTATAAAAAAATTGGTAGTATTTTAACGAAAACAATGTAAAATGCATTTATTAACTACAAACTCATGACAGTTTGAAATTACCGTAATGTAAAAACAGCAAAGAAAGAGATTGATGTGAAGATTTGCAAATCTCATGATAATATTTCATTGATAAGTAATATTTAAGAACGTTTCGAACTATAAACGAGTATAATATTTATACTTCTAGTCATTGTACCATTAATGCGCATCTGAATGCCAATGTCTAAACTGTTATTTTTGTCATTTGATTATTGAAATAAGTCACATACTATTTTCACAAAAATATTTACATTTTCAAGTATTTTACTGCTAACAAGTTTTTAATACCTTTTCCTTTCTTTGCGGCGATCATTTTCTGGTGAATATCGGCGTGATTTTTGTGTTTTACGTCGATTTTTCGATTTGTGCGCGTCATCCGAATCGGAATCATTATCTTTAATAGGTTTCTTGTGCAATTTGCGACGTTCTCGTCGTTCTATTTTGTTGAGTTTTCTATAAAATGTTAAAATTGTGTTAGCAATTGATATTTTACAAGTCTTAAGCAACTTTTTGAAAGAAACTTACTTTAATAATGCTTTCTTCTGTTTAGTACTCAGTGAATTCAGGAATGTGGCCTCTGCATTAGGATCCTCTTCATCAATAAGCAGATTACTACCACCATTTGTAATATGTTGCTTCTTAAGAGCAAGCCCATCATCCAACATTTGCATAACCAAGGAATTCTGGTCTAAAATAGGCCCTGCTTCTAGACTCCTTGCAGCACTCATGCTTAAACTATACATAGGGCATTCCTTGTCAGTGTTAATGTGTCCCCACTTGTGGCATTTGATACATCTCACATTTCTGACTTGGATACCAAAAGGTTGATCTCTAATTTCTTGATCTCCCTTGCAGTAACTCTCACGCGGCGCGTTGTATTTGCGTTGCCATTCGAATTTATACTCTGGCTCGTTATCCTCACGTTCACGATCTTTTTTGACGCCTGGTGGCGGTTCATACATGAAATTAATACTCAGCTTGTCCTTGCTGTCTTTGCTCAGCATTGCTTTATTGTCATGTAAATCCTGTTCTTTTTCGTACTGCTGACGAAGTTCTTCTTGCTTCTTCTTGTAGGCCTCGGCTTTTTGTTCTGCCATCCATACCTAATTAATATAAGATGAATTAGTATGAGACAACTTTATTTTGTTACATTATTTCTAGATTAATGGTTAGGTTGTATTTACTTACTCGCTTTAAATTGTCGCGAGACGCTGGATGGAAGAACTTTTTACACATGTAATTATTGAAACCTTTCCCCATTTCGCTGAGTTTATAATTAACGGCTTGCTATGAAGGAAGTTATTGTGTTACTGAGTAAAATTACGTTTTGTTGTGACATAAACAACTAGAAACGTCAAACTGATAGGTGAACCTACTAGAACATTTGATTGTTGGGGGGTTTATTTCATTCCATGGCACGGCGAGGGCGCTAGTAGTACAATTTATTCCAGTAGAATTCCAGCATGACCAAAAAACATGTCTTGTTTATTGTGCGCATACCTGATAATATACCTGTGCCAGTAAAAATTGGTATTGAGTATGCAATAAAGGGAAAGTATAATATTATTCAGATTGATTTGTTTGCGGAATTGAAATAATTTTTGCGTACAACAAAACAAAATTAATTTACATCTTTATGATCTTTGATGTTAAAAATCTTGTTAATTTCCTGCTCTTGCTGCCAGATAAATTAACTAGATAAATACTAGGTACATACGTACAATTGTAATTTAAACAAGGAGAAACATTATACGGACAGCCTGACCTACAAGAACATTTGTTTACTTCTAGTTTAGTTTATATCTGAGCCAAGCGAGGACGCTAGCTGTGCTACTTTATAAATTTTCTAATCTATCTTCTACTTCACGAGTTGAATTGAAGCAACAAACAAAAGAAACTGCTAGTTTGTATGCGCACTTTTGATATTGAAGTAAATTCAAAGTGGTCCTAAATATTCAATACACCAAATTTATAATATTACTAGCGGCCCTGTCGAACGTTGTCCCGACTTATCTTTCACGAATATTTTCGAAATTTCTGAAAGACTTTTTTAGCTATATTTGCCACATCCATTATTAAAACTCACAGTTTCCATTTCTAAATTTACAAATTCATTCACTTTTATAATTATTGTCAAAATGAGTTTCTATCTGTCAACTAATAATAATAACAGTCGAAAGGTATCGACACCTGTTAAAATTATTTGGAGTTAACAGATAATTGTGACTGTCAAATAATAACAGACAAATAATTAGCAATATCGAACTGCACATGGTGTGCGAATTTTATTATAATCGGTTAAGTGGTTTAGGAGTCCGTTGAGGACAAACATTGTGACACGAGATTTATATATATTAAGATTTCACTTAACTCATTCTTGCAGTAACATGTTTTTGTTAAAGTGAATCCCGATATTTAATACACAGTATCCTGTGTATTTAAATAAATCTAATACATACAATTTACAATAACGTTAAAATTTTATTGCTTCATCTTGTGGCATTTATAATTTATGGCTTCCGGTAAGGGAAATTAGCATGTGGCGGCATAGAATTTGTTTCGTTTCGATAGAAACATCTAGAAACACCATACTTAAACGTTGATTTATCTGAACATTTGATTATAAACCGTTTTCTTTATGTTTGAGCCAAGCGAAGATGCTAGTCCTTGCATTTTATAAATATTCTTATCTGTGTTGTCTTATATTTTTCAAGTTGAGTTTGAATAACAAACAAAGCCTTGCCAGATATAAGCAAAACATCATACCAGACTCTATATCGGTTTAAATACAAATTGGTAGCAATGAAGCAGTACCTACGTGAAAATCAAAACAATATTAATAATGACAAATTCTTGAAATTCAAATTTTTCTTTCAGGACCACCAAAACAAAAATAATTTTGAAATTTTGTACACCGTATATTATTAATTTAAAACGTGGTACAATTTAAATCATTAAAATCATCATTAAAACACAAATGCCACATCTTGTGGAGCTCATAATTTACGACTTCCAGTGAGAGACGTTAATATAATATATTTGCACGTAAAATCGGTTTTGTTTTGATGTAAAGAATTGGAAATATCATACTGATAGCTGGACCTACAAGAACAATATTGTGAGCGGTTTAATTTATATCTAAGCCATGCGAGTCAGTGTCATTTTATGTATATTTTGACGTGATAACGTCTTTAAAATCGTTTTAGTCGGGTGACATGTTCAGAAACTGTGTCACGAGGCCTCTCGAGGCCGATCGCAGGTATACCCCCCTCTCGTTATAACGAGAGAGAGACGGACCGATCTCCCGTCGCATCTCGAGCGCTGCCAGTCATTCCATGAAACTTGTGACGCGGAATCCACACGAGCGGAGGCAGGCATAGCGTTCGAGTGAGTTGACCGATCTTCCGTCTCTCTCACTCTAGCGGCATACAAACGAATGGAGATTTTTTCGTGCGGTTAAGTTTTCGTTGAATGTTTAACAGTAAAACAAAATGTGAAGTGCAAGTGAAGTGTTACAACAATTGTAACAAAAAAAACTTATATCACCAATAAGACGTTATCACGTAAACATCTCGATCGTAATCCTACTTTACAAACAACCATTTTTTTTATTTATTCTTTACAAATTTAAAACAAAACATGTTGTGCTTACTATGTGCATTCCCGACAATATATTCACGCAAATAAAAATTGGTATAAAGAAGGCAGCAGACCAATAGTCAAACATTATTTATAGCAATTTTTCTTCAAATTAAAAGTTAAAAAAATGATAAACATAAGAGAAAACACAGTTGTATGTAAAGCAGGATGCTTACTTTGTACTTTAAAATCAAGTACAAATTACAATAACATTACAACTCAATTGCTTGCACAATATAATTTCCTCTCGGTCGTTTTCTGCGCGTCATTATTTTTGCAGCAATTGTTCCAACACTCCAATCGAGTATTCATGGCACGAAAGTAATTCGTAATTCGAATACACCGTAAAATAAATGCGTCTGGTAAATTCGTGCCGGGGACTTATCGTCCTCGCCGCGTGTCTCTCGGGAGTATAAGAAAAAAGGGCGCAAAAAACCGTAAAGAGCACGAGGACGAAGCGGCGTGGAACTAAAATGTAGTCGATGTATTCACCCGCCGCTCGTATTCCGCCCCATACGTACACACCAATCCTTTTTACATGTATAAAGTATGAAATGTGAGCGTAAAACATGTACGAGTAGTGCGGGTGTGTGAGTACACTGTCTACGAGCCACCTGAAGAACGCGCGCGGCGAAAAACTCATTACTCCAGGTGCGAGCAAAGAACGTATATGCGCTGGTACGGAAAGTGCCCTATCGATTAGTCGCGAGCCATCAGCGGGCGGCAGGCGGAGGTGAACGCATGAACACCATGAAAACCACGAAAATTGCGCGCTGGGTAAAATGTGAGGAAAGCCACGTCGCATCACACCGCACATTAGTGCGTCCAGAAGAAAAGCGTGGAAATTAATGAGGCATGCGTGTTACATTAGTTCGAATATTTCGGGTTAATTAAGCTAGAAATGCGAAAAGTTTCAGTCCAGACTAATAATACATCGGTAAATTAAACATTCCTAAAATATGTTTTACATGCTTATAAATCATTTATTATTCTAACCGCAATATTAATTCTGTTCTAGACATGTGATGGTCAGGGATAGTGCTTTATTGACAAGCACGAAATTAGATTATTAATTACACATTCGCAGACAAAGTTTATTCAACAATTTCATTTCATTTCAATTTTATCGCTTGAGTTTTACTGGTTATCTTCGATAAACTGCAAAAGTTACAGACAGACGAGTCTCATATCTCTAATGAAGTGCAGAAAATTTCTATCAAAATGATCAAAAATTTTCATTTTTGTTGATTATTAACAGAACTAACCACAAAACACTTATTTTTCAAAGCAATAGAAAAATATTTACAATTTTTTAAAAGAATGGAATGGTTTTTTTGTTTTTTATTTAGTAATGTCGTTTATTTATTTAAATATGATTTGTTTCTTGTTGTTTAATTTTATGCATGTATAATGACAATGAAAATAGCTACTCTGACCTAGGAAATTGTTATTTTCGACCACATTTGCAAGCATTACACTCCGGTCGCCACAATGGCGATATTTTTAGGACGATAGCTTTCGAATTTTCATTAGCTTCGCACCGCTCGTTGCCCGTCGGCGTCGCCGTTATCTATTTGCGCGCGGGACAGCTGAACGCAAGGATATTCGCTGCTTCAGCCGACAATGAAACCAAATCTCGCTCGAAACTTACTACAATGCGTTTAATTAGTTTTGCAATAGTTGCCAGCGGTCAAATCGTCACCTACCATCCAAAATTAATAAACTTGGATGTACTTATGATATTTTTGCTGAATTTAGTGACCCAGTTTATGGAATGTTGCGAGATCGCCGAGCTTTTCGACGTTTTTAAATATTCAAACGATTGCAATGCGGATAGCTGCTTGATTGCATTCGGGCGGTTGTTGGAAGTCATGCGCAAATGTCGGCAGTCAGTATGTACCTGTACGGAGACGGTGGAGGCGGTGGTGGTAGTGAAGGCGGCGGCGTATGTTCGTGGAGCGTACATATACCTACGTGGAGGTGGAAAGCTTGCATACATTACAACAACGAGACGCGCACGGAAGCGTGAAATTGTTTTATAATGGCTGTCACAATAATCTTTTTAAGCAACCAACATTACAATAATATAGATACAAAATTAAAAACAGAAAATAATTGATATTTATTAATTTAAAACGTTAAAAACGAATTATAAACTTTTTAATTGACGTAAAATATAGACTGAAAAGCAAAATAATTTTATTTTATTATTTATTAATAAAATTACATTATTTTTTTGAATAAATGAATAAAATTGAATAGTTTGCGTCTAGATACTGTAGGTGTATTATATGTAAATGTGTACGTTGTAGGGTAGGTTGGCAGTGGCGCCGCCGCCGGTGCGGTGGTCAGGTGACGGCGCGGCGTCGAACGCGCACGCAGTTCGGCGGCGGCTGGTGGACGGAAATAAACGCACCGCCGCGGAGAGCGCGCGCGTGTGTCCCGACCGCTGGGCTCGACGACGACCACGACGGCGACGACGGCGTCGCGACGCCCGACGCCAGTGCGGTGCGCGATGTCCTAGTAGTGTGTAGTCTCGCGACGCGACGCGCCTCGTTTTACACGCGCGCATCAAGAAAACGAGAAATTTACTCGAACTTTTAAACATCGCAACATTTCTGACCAAACAACAAAACAAAAACGTTCATTATTTAATGTAACCCTCTTAGTTTAGACCCGTAGTTTCCCAAACGAGAAGAAAGTAATTTCAAAAATTGAAAACAAAGGAATATTATTAATTGAGTAAGTAATTTGTATGTGGATGTGTAATCATATTATTTGCGGCTGGTTGTTTGTTTGTTTTTCAAGTTTTCTTGAAGGTGAGACTTGCGCGACTATATTAGCACAATGTCGCAATTGGAATTTGTGCGATTCGTGCGAGTCGTTTGTACGTACTCGCGAAACGCTCATCAAGCGCACTCTCTCGTTAATTTTACTTTTTGGCAAACGCGCAGGTGGTTTATCCGCCGATTATTATAGCAGGCTCCCCGTTTTTATTAAAAATAGTTGTGCGCCACACTCAAGGAAACCTTTGCTGAGATCAAAGCCTTGGAAATTTGCAAAAAAATTAACAAACACAATAAAAACCCACAAAAAAATAATACAATAACAACAAAAAACATATCGACTGCTTTATTTTCTTTTGAGGAGTACCTACCTATTGAAGTCGGGTATGCTTGAAGAGAAGAATTTTTCATTTTTCATTCATTGCTTTCAGCGGAAAGTCAGTTTTTCGTCTCGCCGAGCGGAAAAACGCCGGTGAAGAGTACGAAACACGGGTGACACACGCGATACAAACGTCAGGCGTGCATTTTTCACAATTTTCCGATTTCACACAAGCGAAAATCAAAAGAAAATTCGGAACAGCTGGAAACTTGTGTGAAACTGATTGAATCTAGACTTTAAAAGTACCGTAAAATAAATAAATTCGAAAAACACATAAAAATCGAATGTGTTTGATGTTACATTTCCAGCTAATGCATATTTGAGTACAAAAACCGTACAAAAACAAAAAGCACTTTCCTAATTTAATAAAATTATTAAGATGATTAGATAATTACCACGAATAAATTTAATTCGAGCATACAAAGTTTATATTACTCACACGTATAAATTATCATTTTATAAATTTAGTTCACCTTTCTCGTAAGTATATAAATTCAACGCGTCGACGCTCGAAAATTTCATAGATTCGCGGTAATCCCCACAGATTTCTGAAGGTACAAAAATATTGAAAGGGAAACGCGTTGTTACTCCTCACTCTTCGTGCGCCTGATCCTACACATCGTGAAAATCTGAATGTATTCGTGAGCGAAAATCTAATCTCGTCCCAGCGGCTCCTCTCGTTTCAGTCACGTATCGCGTTTTACAATTTTCTAATAAAACTTAAACGAGCGCCGAACGAACCTGACACGCCAAAACGAACACAGCGAACAAACCGACGTCGGAAAGCATTAGAGAAGCAAAGATTTAAGGTTAGGTAATGTATATCTTAGCGATTGTTGTGCGTTCATACCGGGGCATGAGTTTATGATGCAAAGAATTCAAAACTCAAGACTTATTTACAATTACAAAAGGTTTGAAATGCGTGCAGCGGGCGCAAAGCAAACATGAATAACAAAAGAAAGCAGAAAGGTTAACAAAAGCAAGAAAAAAGTGGATTTAATGAGTGTATAAAAAGATAATAGCCTTAAAGCATATTTATATAGGTTAGGAAATGTATAGAGGTAATGTTGGTTGCATATATTATACATAATTATAATGTTTCCTTATTACAGGAAATAGGAAAATCAAATATGCAAAGAGTAAAGAATCGAACAATATTCAAACTTCAATACACATCGGTTGAAAATATGTATTGATGTTAACGTGCACGCGGTAATAAAACGTGCGACAAAAGCTAATAAGTGGTATTTAAACTGCGTTAACGTATTTTTTACGCACGAATCGAATTAAACCGAGAGGAAACAAATAAAACGCTGTGCGATTACCATCATATTTTAATGATCATCAATAATTGATTTAATATTTACGTCGCTAATGACTGCGTGCGCTTTGAATATTTAAAAAGCATCAAATTGCTCGCTTCGACCCAGCGATCCAAATACATAAACAATAAGACAAATTTCATATTATACAATAAATTTATAATCCAGCGCAGTATGTTGTTATGTGGTAGAATACTGCACTTTATAACCTATAAAATTGGTTTGTAAAAGTGCTCAACTTTATTCTTTTGTACTTTTTTGTTTCAGTTTTATTGCTCACGCAAACATAAAACTGCTAAACTCTGAAAGTGCTTCTAAAACCGCTGAAAATGCAGGACTCATCTTTTTAAATATACAATGTGTTTGAAGTTAAACAAAAAATATATAATATAATAAAAAATGTTTGTAAATTTAATAATAATTTCGGGCATTTAGACGAAACAAAAAATGCTTGGCGTTTAATAAAAGTTAGAATATTAAAAAAAACTTTACTCTCCATGACCCGAGGGTAAACGTCTAGTCAGGTCGTTTCTAATAAATTCGCAAGACACAAAGAAGCGCAAATGTTTCGTGTCTAAGGACGATTATGATGTGTACGTATTTCCAGCGGTAAATTCACGACAAACCAAAAATATGCTCCGTCATTTCGTTGTTTTTTTTTTCTGTTTGGATGTTTTGTAATTTTCACTCTGTGTCCTTTGTGTGTATAATTTCTATAGATGGCGCTGATGGCAAACATGTTGTTTTGGAACTGCCGCGGATAATATTGAACAACAGATGGTTGGAAACAAATGCTGCGCGTGGTTCCCAGCTAATCCCATTGAGCAAAGTTTCCAGGGTGAATCTAAAGCTGCGGCGGACAGGAAAAACAGAACAACGTAAATATTTTGGCCCGCGACCGCACGAAATGGCAAAATGGCAAAGCGCAAAGGCCAAAACGTTGCAACACACCCAATTGCTCTTTTGTAAAACTTTCCCTACAAGGAAACAAACGAACAAAACAACTCGAACTAAACGACGGAATTCAATTAACTACAAAACTAGTTTTGTTTTGATGCGGTAATTTTGACAGTTGACATTTGCTAGATATAATCTAAATTTAGTTTTTGTTTGTATCCATATGAATAATTAATGTAGGAATTTTCTATTTGCTTCCAACTAATACAATCGTTTAATTAACTGGGTAAACGCGAGTGCGATTTTTTTTTGCATATCCAACGCCATTATTATCGGCTTCTCGGGCCCGGCGTGCACAATGGCGTGCGCAAAATATCAACTGCCTTAATTAGTTTTTCATTTGCATAGCCAGCCGGCCGTATGATGGCGCGTTGCGGTTTGTTGCCGCCGCTTTTTTTTTAAACGCGCAACACGTGTGCGTGGCGCAATGCGTGACCGTTTGAACTTTAACACGTTGCTTCGACACCCCCTTCGAATGTTCGCGGCCCCACAACGCTTGTCGCTTAACGAAAATTGCTGTTTTCATTCAGCGCTACTCCATTTCGAATGTAGATCGCGCAAACAACACACATTACTACTCTTTATTACCTAGGCAACACACACTACATCGAATTACTGCAAACAAACACACAAACCGGAATTGTTTCTATTTTTTAACCTTTGCGCGATGATTCAATGATGCGTATTTTTATCTTTTACTGTGTTATTAATAATAAACCATTACCTAATGACTCTATTTTATATCGCGAGTAGTGGCGCGAGTAGGGAAACGTGACGCAGATTTATTAACGCAACTGCGGCGGTCGAGGCTTAAGAAAAAACGCGAAAAATCGGATTTATTAACTGCGGTTGCTCAAGTGAGCTAAAAGTAAATCATGATCTAACGAGCCAAGCGCAACAAGCTGAAGCGAAATGAACGACATCGAAACATTAAACGCGCATTAATTCGCGCTCGATTTGTAAATATTCTCGTACTACGACGACTTGTCGCAGCGAGAACGCGTTGTTTTCGTGATAATATGCTCGTAAATTACGCTTAACGATCAAACAACGCGAGTGTTTACCAGATTTATCGAGGCGACTGTGAATTGTATCCAAAAGCGCAAAAACCTGAAACAGGTGCAATACACTTTGTTTCTATGGCAATTCAGTGAAAAATCTGTCAAAACATGTCAAAGCTGTCAAACACACGTCGAAAAACTAAACATGCGGCCCGGTCAAATTGATGTAATGTGTTTAATCCAGAAATAATTAAGCCGATTATTCAATCTGCATTATATGCATGATGAGCTTATTGTGCATACAGTGTGGTCGAGTGGTCAAGTGCACCACAACAAACGTGGGCGTAAGATTTAATTTGGGTCAGCGAGCGGGCTGCGCGTAATTAGCGTCTCGGTGCCAAGTGCCGCGACAAAGCATACGCAAAGCCGGAGAGCTTTTCAGACGTTAGCGAATAAAAAGCACAAAAACAAGTAAGCAGTAGAATAAAAGAAAATCTCATGCAACAGAAAACAAAAAAACACTTCTAAGACTACCCAACGAAGTGAATACGTAAAGGAAACTTCACTTCACTCATTGTGTTTTTTGTTTCTTTTGTACCGTTTTTTTTTTTCCGCAGACGATTCCTGAGGTTTCGTTACGTTGTGCGATTCTTATCACGACCACATCAAATGAGAATACGATTGTTCTTTTGTTTTCTCTTATCGTGTTGTTTATTGCTTTGCTAATGGCTTGCTTTTCGTGTGGACAAGGTTGAACACACAAAGATGTGTCAAATGGCACTTGACATTTTGACTGTTGACATTCAGGATTGAAAAAAAAAATTGTTAGTTTAGCGTGTATTTAGTAAAGTAATATCCTGGGACCTGGAATAGAGGCTTGGTGCGCTCCGCAGGGCTCGTTGAATGCGTTAATTAACGAATGGAAGTTTTAGTTTAATGAATCGATCAACCTTTATTAATGTACGCCGCACGGTCCAGCAGCGATCCCATTCTGCATGCGCATGCAACCCAACTCACACCGATGTCAGAGCGTCAATATTGCCGCAGTTGCATGCAGTGTGTTGCAATCTGTGCGGCGTAAACACTAAACGGAAATCGGGAATATTGGTTATTAAGTTGGTGCCTGGCCTTGGGCGACCCTTTTGCGTTTGCTGCAGGCAATTAGTGTCATGCTCAGTGAAATACAAATTTGCCTGTTTTCCATTTAGTGCATATGCATTAGTGTCAATTTGGTTGCCTAGCTCCTGAATGACCATCAACTGATTGGCGATTTTTTCGTGGAATCATCGAAATGCTTTTTAATCGGTTTAACAAACATCAAACGGCGTTTGATGTTCACTTTGTTATTTGAAATAAACAGAAAAAAATGTGGATTTAAAAATGTTGTGCCTATCTACTTAGGAATTAAACTTGTTGTCTTTTTTCATTAAAATCCGCGTTCGACTTTACATAGTTAATTAACTCGGGAGTCCCGAGGCGTTCGTAATTGGTTACGAATTACTGCGCCCCTTCTCCGCCGACCATCCGCTCGTCTTCGCCGCCTCCCAGACTACTACTCCGCACGTCTACTGCTTTTTCGCAATCCCAGCGCGTCGCGCTCCAGCGTCTTCAGCGTTTGCCGTCTTTCCATTAGCATTTAGGTTTAGGCCATTAGAGATTGCGCGAGCACGCAATTACGTCTGAACGCTGAAGTCGAACATCTTCGCCGACAAAGTGCGCAAAAGCGCCGCGATTCAAACTAAAACTGTAAAGAGTCCTCACAGGACAACAAAAAACATATATTTTTTTAAAAACTCTTCTAGACAAAAGACAGACATACAAAATTACAACCTAAAAAATGTCTATAACCCTTTATTTATGTTTTACTTGGAATTAATTTATTGAAACACATTGTATGTGTGTTTATCTCCTAATTGCAATAGTTACCACAGTCTAATATGATCTATAAGATTTCCTGTGAATACATTGAAGTGATTCATGATTTTCGACGTGTTTGTTGATTCCGCAATGTAGACTAAATGGATTGGTAGGATTTGAGATTGGGTGTTGTTTGAGTCGGTGAAGTCTGCAAAGTCAGTGATTCGTTAAAAGGAGATTTCAAACTACGCTGAACGCGCGACCCGCTCAACGCTTACAATTAATTCGCAATCTTTCACTTGAGAAGACTGGAAACTCCAAGATTATTCTAAGTTATTAAAAAATCAATCTTTATGAAATTACAATTTGTCACTTTGAGATTTTTAAATCTACGAATGAAAATGTAATTTGTTCCCGGTGAATGAAAATGGAAGCTTTCAGCGTGTGTTTGCTTGTTGCTTCCATTGTTCAAGTCGAAAACCCGGAAGGGTTCGAGGAAACTGCATCCTGGCAACAGAATTGCTCTGCGATTGTATGGGTGCAACAGAAGTTACAAACTACGACCTGGATGGCATTGTACCCGCATTCTCTTTGAAAATAATCCGATTTTAAAGAATCTAATTGAAAGGAAAGACAATATAACAGTTGAATTCAATTGATTCGTTTAATAGGTTATACTATCTGTGCAATTACTGCCATCTACAAGCTAGTTATGCAGGTATATGAATAGCGTTCATAAATTGGATATTCAGCTCGTTAGTGAAGTCAAGAGCGATGCAGATTATAATTAAAACAACATTAGCGTTCATTTCGCATACCCGCCGGAGTCGACGCCGAAATATAACAAACACTCTGTCTGTGAGAGTTCGTACCGACAATTTCACATTTGCTATTCGTTGGGAATAAACAGGTGAACCGGTCGGTTGTTGGTTAGTCGCGGCGAATCGGAAGCGCGATTTATCGACCGCCGCCTGGTATCCAGCTCTACCTCGCCGCTGCCGCCACCGCCACCGCGCACTTTGTGCTTCTCTCTACATTACCGCCTCATTGTTTATTTTATTGTTTCGTATTATTCCTTGCAAGCGCCGCAACATGACATAATACATAACCTATAAAGCGCTCCCGACTAATGGCTGCGCGTTTGCATTGAACGGACGGAGATCGAAGTGCCAGTACTTGAGTTTTAGCAAAAATGTTCCGTTTCATGCGGCGTGCAACACGTTATTGCGTGCCGCGCCGAATGTCGAAACAAAAGAACTAATGTAATTAACAGGGTGCACGTTAATGTGCGTTCTACCGTCTTCGAACAACAAATGATTATTGCTTTCCAATATCACAACGAGTTTGGATCAATTGCACGCGATAGTATTTTATTAATTCAAAAATTCACTTTGCTAATGGTAAAAAATGGTATATTAAATAACGCCATCTATTGGCATGGGAATAATTTAATGCTAAAATTAGTTTAGGGACTGCAACATATCCACAGCAATTAACGAGCGATTAGTCAGATTGTCTTGTCATGTTTGGCTCGTTAGTTTGCTCGTGTTTGACTATTCGCTTCTTAATTGTGTAATATGTTTGCTGCCGACGATTGACATCATTTTTTACGAGTCGAAAACGCATAAAAACGCTCATCAACACATTTCACCTATGTTTGTATGTTTGGTTGCATATATATAAATAAATCCTACGTTATTCTATTCTAGTCGTTTAAATTGTTTAAATTTTTTTTATTTAAGTTGATTAATTTCGTTTTTCTGTTTAATTTCTAGGTGTTTAGTTAGTTAAGCCCCGCCCCGTTCAGCAGACAGCGACTTAAAGTTTGTTTCGTGTTCGTGCGATGTCGCATGCCGTCGCGAGTTAAGATGCCATCACCGACGTGCGTGCGACGCAAATGCGGATGACGCGCCAACGACCCGGTGCGCGACGACGACGTGCTTGTTCGCGATGTGTGCGCGCGAGGGAGCATGTATGTAATATTCCCGGCAGATGAAGTAGTTTATCTGTCATACGGTCGCCTGATCTACATCCCGACGGTCGCCGACGACGACACCGACCGCCCCCACGCCGATAACGGCATTCCGCACGAGATCCAGCAGCAGGTCGAGCAAGCGGTGCAAGAACGACGCCAGCGCCAGTGCAGTGAAGGCTCCGCCCCGCTCACGCCCACTTCCACACCCACTCCGACCTCAAACACGCCCACACCACCAAAAGCGCCCGAACGCACTAAACGCAATTCAAACGCGTCGAGTATTAACAAAAAGAAACCGAACGGTAATCTAGTTCCGCCGCCAGCGACCACACTTAGTCCTCTGAAGAAGTCGGCTACTTCGGTGAGTCTGCAAACTGCGGCCGCTACCAATCAGAACTCTCCGAAGGCGGTTAAGATAGCAGCAGCATCGCGTGATAAACGCCTCTCGTATTCGGACTTCCTTCCTGTGCACAAGTGCCTGAAACCGCAAAATCTTCAGATAAATCCCGCCTCTAACTCCACCTTTGGGTCCACCTCTTTGTTGGGCGTACCCAAATCGCCATCGCCCTTCGTCGCACGGAAACCGCTCGATTTTGACGAGCTTTTTGACCGACCAGAGCCGGTTTCTTTATCGCCAACTTCCGAAGAGTACGAGTCGCGGCTGAGGTCGCAAACGCCAGGTGAACGTACAAACGATGCACTAATTTTGGGTCTTGCGGTGGAACTAACCTATATTTAGCCCTAACAAATGCAGCTACTATCTGTACAGACTACAGCTGGAGCTCTGCGTTTACGTGATACTAATACCAATTTATGTTTAATGCTAACGTTGGGAGCGTTTTACAATGGACAATTCACGCAAAGTGCTATTTTAAGAAATCTGTAGTACTGGCGCGTGGGGAGATAAACTAACTTAGCCGGTTCGGAGCGCGGGCTAATTTTAACAACTAATACCTGCCATACGCACGGAATATATTACAGACGAAAAGAAAACACTTGAGAAAAAATTAACCACTTAAAAATTTACAATAAACAGATTTTGATTAATATTCAAAGCGCTTCAATAACACTTTGTTTATATGTTGAGGCATTCAAATTGGGAATGTAAATAATACTTTTGTGCTTTGCACCCATCGTTACACATTACATGCATTTTGCATTACACAACATCAAAATATTTTGAAACGTCGAGATTTTCCTGACATTTTCCACTTCGTTGTCGCGTAAACGCGTTTATATGATATTTACAATTATTGAGATGTTTCGCAGTTGAAACGTATAAACTCAGAGTGAATATACGCGAATATATGTTGCGTCTGAAAATATACACAACTCAAACTTTGCTTACAATGTGTTTAAGCATAAAAATAAATTAAAAATCAAATATTGAAGACTCCGACATAAATTATAGGCAACTTAACATGCTGTACATTTACAACGTTTTGTATTAAAATAACAAACACATACCTATTATCGAATATTGAATTGTAATTCAATGCAATGAACGGATGTTATTCTAAATGTCGTTCGTTTTGATTCCGCGAATCCATTCTGTGAATCGTTTGTGCTATGCATTCACCCTTTAGTTCATGCAAATGTAAACCACTGTAGTAATCAGATTTTGCATTTATTGTCCATAGAAACACTCGATAAAATGTGCAACATTCAATTTTATGCGCCAAGTGCGAAAATCCATCTGTACACGCGCTCATCGTGGAAATTAATAGCAAATCGCCAAAGTCGTAAAGCGTGCGTAAACACACATAAAACGCAGAGATTTAACACGTTTCGAATCTGTTCGCGAATGTCATTCGCTATATTCACAGCAATTCACAAGCGCGACTCAATTGTTTTGCTGAAATCCTTGAAATGACAGAATAAACAAATCGTAAACAAGTCTTAACCAAACGTTGAACGCATAAAACTAACAACTGGTTGAAATTTACATAAAAATCGAGTATCTGCTTGAATTAACTGTGTTGATCATATATTTTTCCTGATTATTTGTTGTGTTGTTATTATTTGTATGTTTGATTGCTGATTGGGTTGCCTAACAAGCAGATACTAATGTAATATATTTGTGTATTTAATTTAGTGTTTGTTTTGTTTGTAGAGAAATCCCCAACGAAAAAGAAAGCTTTCTTCCTGCCAAAGCTACCGACCAAACAACCTCCCGAACCACCACGGTTAAAAAGATCCACGGAATTTGGTATTTCTGTGCGGCGCCGTCAGCAAGAAGCGCACTATCCAGCAGAGGGCGTTGCGGGGGCGCCGCCCGCGACGGCAACGGCGGTTAAAATGGCCGCCTCCGCCGTCCATGATGCGGCGACGCTGCGGGAACTCTCGCATCCTGGCTACAACGAGCCGCTCAAGGGACACAACGCCGTCACATTCAAATTGATTCGCACCGGTAAGCAAAGCCTAAATCATTTAAATCAACTGAAAGCTTGCACTACTTGAAAGCAGCGAATATAAAAGCGCTTTTCTACATGCCAGCCAAATGCCACATCGTAAAACTTTCACGTTGAAACGTTAAAAGCGAAATTAATTGCAAAACCTCATCGATTTACTGTCTGTACGCTGTAAACTATGCAAGGTAAACAACATCCAAGTTGAAACTATATGAACAACTCAACTATGGGCAGCTATGAACTTCCACATTCATTTCAAATATACGCTACACACACAAACAACACATCGCGTGCATAATGCAAACATGAAATTGCAATTATAAGCATTGCTAGATGGTATTTTCGAATTATATGCCCCCGTGATGGTTATTACCATTGTGATCGATTACTCAACGTTTGCATTTAGCCATGAAATTGAATCAGGACTTGTGATTGAACGGATAGTAATTTGGCCCTAGACCGGATACCGGATATTCGACCATCTTCTCGTTTGACTAACCGGAGATACTAATTAGTCTATGTTTTATCTTTTGTGTCAAAAATTTAATAATTATGGTGGAGATCTTCTTGTATTACCTATGAATATTAAACAATTTGATTTTATTAGTTCTTCCATGTTTGAGATAGAAAACACCCCGTATCTACGGTGAAAATAATGTAATTAGCGGTTTCTTATCGAGATGTGATAACTGAAGAGACCCTCTATACTATACAAACAAGTTACACGCTCTAAATCATTAGCAAATACTCTGAAACGCTCTAAAATGTTCTATTTAAACTAATTAATACAACTACATTCTAAATTGACCAGTGTATCCACCAAAATATAATGTTTAAACTGACTGTAAGTTGTAACTTATAAATTAAAAAAAAATCGTAAAATCTGTTAGCAAGCGCATAACTCAACAACGCCTAGACCAATTTGGCCAATTCTTTTTTAAGTGTTTGTTAAAGTCCAAGGATGGTTTTTACGGCACGAAAAATTCGAATAATTGCCGGGAAAACCCTAAAGACAGCATTTTTCTATAGGATAAAAGTTGACATTGAGATTCAATCGTAATTATAGTTAAATAGTTGAATCCGAGATGGCACGCTGAAGTGCATTAGAGCAATTCTTTATAAAATTAATTTCTTTAAAATAAAATTGTGAATCTTATTGATAGAATTAACCCATACTATGTCTATAACAAGAGAATAAAAGCAAATTACATTTTTATTTAACACTATCGGGACGAAGTCGCGGGCAGAAACTAGTAAATTAATACAATTACATTCTATGATCGGCGCCTCCACCAAAATATTTTGTTGTGATTTGTAATAGAAAATTGAATATAACCGTGTAGAGGTTTGTTGTCGATTATTTTTTTATGTCTAATAAATATTTCTCGACCAAAACTCTACCACTTGTGTGGTATATATGGCGCCACTGTCTGCTTGAGCCCTTGTGATTTGTTAAATGCGACGTGCGTCAATATTTGCACACCCAACGGATGAGTAAATATTTACCGAAATCGCTGGCTTGACCAAATGAAGGCGCACTTGGGGTGCACGAATTAGGTACCGGAAGAATAGACGACACCGGAGGAGGTAAACTAGATGGCGGCTTAATGTCCTTAATGGACATTTCAAGTTGATGATGTTTGATTTCAACTTGACCTTAAAATGCTTGCTTTCAAACTCAGAAAAGAAGAAAGAAAACTTGTAATTACACCGATAAATGTATACAATTTATCAGTTTTTGTCCACTAAGTGGTCTGGAATGAGATTGGTTTTCGATGACGACGCGACCCGCTCGGAAAAGCGCTTTTTAAGTGATGATCTTGGCGCGAGTAACACACTTATCTGTGACCAGGCTGAAAAGTAGCTCTCGCGTTGGCACTGGGCTGAATGCCAAGCGTGTTCCCATCGGGATGACGAAAGAGCACACTTTGCCAGTGACCTAGCCCACAACGCGGGAAAACATGAAATACGGTACAAGAAAAAAAAATACGCACGCAAGCAAAAAATTCTCAGTGTCAATGAAGCAGTAAAGCTTCCGAAACGCGTTTTGCAAACACACTGTATTGCAGCAGAGTTAAAATCTAATAAAACGGTAAAATTACTAATATCCACGCTGTGTGAATGGATGTATGGGATGTGTTTCTCCGTTTCGTCCTGTAATTTCTCATCCTTCGGATTGCGGGACGCGGTGAGTGGTTATTTATTTCGGCGTCGCCTCGTGTTCACAGCGCCGTTTTTATAGATAGAAATCGAATGGATATAGATAGAACGACGCAGTGATCTTGGCGAATTTAATTTGGCACGACACGCATAATAAACGCACAACTTCACCACGAACGTAAGCACAACAAGGACGGGCGTTTCGTCAACCCGAGCGGTGAAAATTTTTTGCCAATTATGTAGTAATCAGCTGGTTATTCAAGAAACATACTTGGAAGCCAAAACAAATTCGACAAATTTTCCATGCTGTGTAATTACTAAGTAGACATTTATTACGCATTTTTAGCATAGGGGAAATTAGGCAATTGGTTGTAAAAATGTTGTGTCATAAAATTGATAAATCCCCATATGGAGAAAGCACCAATTTTTCGTAATTAATCTCCGCATTTTTGCGAATTGCTTTTGGTGTTATAAGTTACACATGCTTCAGCAATTTTTCATCGTTAATGCGCCATCTATCATTTTGTCCTGACTTCTTACACACTGTAACGGAGTAATATTTTGGTCTAATTCTTCAGAATCACTCCAAACTTTATTTTCTATGATTTTCACGTTTAGAGATTTGAAGCTTAACTAAAAATTGAGCGAAAATACGAAAAATTCCATCAATCTTTATTAACTTTTATAACGTCTAAGAATAAAACTAAATGGGAAACAAAATGTTGTATATTTTTATATAAAATACTTCAAATTTTCTTCCTGATGATTAAAGCATTATAAATATAAGAAATGTGAAAAGATAATGCTGCAAGTCCTTTTTTTTATTGCGGTTTTTGCGAGGGGTATAGAATCTTAAATGAGCTTAGCAAAATAAATGGATTTCTTGTAGGTTTTCTCGTTCGTCGAAGGAAAAGAAGCCTTGTAGAATAAGTAGCCAATAAGTATCGACGCAGTGTAAGTCTTAAAAAGATTTCGCAATTTTTATTTCTCATCAAAAGCAATAATTTGTGTTAGTGCATTAAAATGATGCAATTAATGATTATTATGATTGTTTCCGTAGTTGGAAAATTAGATAAGACACATCTATTTAAACACCGTGTTGCTGTGTTGCTGTGCACTTCCATTATTTGTTCTGTTATCTGAAATATGTCGATTACTCGCAACTAACTGCCAAGCACTCGTTGGTGATTGTGTCAGCTATTTCCGTGTCTGCTGCTTATCGAATTGTAAAAATAATTGCCAATCGAAACGGAATTGAAGCAAACGCAAACGCCGAGTACTCGAGTGATTCTGATTTTAATTAATTAGAATTGAAGCGTAATTGCAATCAATGCAGCAGGTGCTTACGCAAACTTGTGCCGTGTCAGTTGAAGGCCGGAAAATTGAAATGGTAGATGTATGTTTTTTTTCACCCACGGATTGAAAAGGTCACATATGCGAGTATTGTGTGTCGAATAGAATTATTGATAGTGTCGAATAACGGATGAGATTGGAAAAGTGTTATATTTCAACAAATATAGACATATTTCATAAACAAAAGTTGAAATATAAAAAAAATATTGTGTTGAATTTTATACCATATTTCAACGATACGTTTTTTAATCAATTATACTGAAAATCATCTAAAAAAGAAATTAAATTTTTGTTTTCTTCAATTACGTATGCGAGTAAATAATTCAAGCACACCGGAATGCACGAAATGCCGTCATAAAGAATGCAACACGCGGAAAATGAAGAATCCCGGAATCCGGTCGTCGTTCAGTGTGGAAAAATGAAAGCGTAGAATGTGCCAGACAATAGCGGAAGAATGCGGTTCAACGCCGAAAGCAGAACAAATGCGTTAAATAAAAATCGGCCTGCAATCAGCACCAATTGAGTGGCAACCGAATGAACTTCTTCAGTGCTGCCACCTATTGGCATATAATTGCGTCAAAACACTACAAGTTATTCGAAACAGTTCTAAGCTTTTGTTTCTTGGAAGCTAGGAAATCGAAATACAAAGTTTTCTGAAATAATTTACCAGCAACGTTCCACGTGTCGTGTTCCTGATTCTGTGATAACGCGCCGGGTGTTGCGCCAGCGCGCATGAATTATTCACTCGTCGAGAGGGCGCGACAAGAGCTCGCAGAGTCGCAGGCGTGCATAATTTATGCGTGCAGACCCATACATTCAACACACTGTGCCACCCCAAAAATAAACAAAACAAGATACGAATAGCAAACTGTCAGGAAGAAGCCAGCAATGCAGAACGTAAAAATAAAAAGCAAATACGTGAAAATTCAACAGAATCAGCAAAAATATACCTAAAATGAATATAAATGATATTTTAAAGTACTGCCATCTATGGACTGTAAGTTTTGATGGTGTAATTTTGTAGGTTAAATGCTAAGAAATTAACTCGATTCAGAAAAGTTCGGAACTTTTCGATGTCATTTCGGAAAGTTGGCGCGGTGTAACCTTTCAAATTAGATTAGCGCCATGGATGGACGTCCGCCATCGCGAGAAATGAGCGCGTCGAAGAAACTCGCAACTATCAGATTACCCATTGCTTCTTGCCACTTTTGGTTCGTTCCTCCATTTCGCTCGACGTCGGGCGCTTGCATTATTCAAGTTTTGCGCAACTTTTCCTGGTCCATAACCCTCTTCACACCGGAAGGAAACGCAAGCCGAGTTCGACTTCTCGACGTGTGTCGATCTTCGAACAAAATGGCGGACTTCAGGTACACGACTGGCAACTGCAAAACTTAATAAAACTTCATCTTCCGTGATACATCAAAAACATCAAGGGTTATATTATCCGGAAAGCTTTCCTTTTGTGTGAAACTTTTATATGTTATCTTGATTTACCGGATAGTTTCTTAGTTTCTTAGAAATCTGATATTTATCATTCGCGGTAAAAGAATATTAACGAGATAAACCTTCACGTTGGATAACATAAATGCGTACCAAGAATTTTATATTTTTCTGCATACGAAGAACTTGTTATGTATTTTTATTGTGTGTTGCTTAGTTACACAAAGTATCAAATGTATAGCCTTTGATAATCTCGATATTCTAACAATAACATAAACATAAAACGAGCCAATTTAAAATGTAAATTTATATATTTAAAAAAACTTGAAAGCATTTTTCTTCGAAAAATTTAATGAAATTTAATCCTTTCAAAAGCAAATTGCGCAGTACTTACAAAGTACCTAGAGTCCTAGAGTCATGCAGTAAAACGCGTTTTAAGCCAAAACGGGACAACATTCCCGGCGTGTAACCCAACGCTGATGCTGTCGGCGGTGGCGTTGTGGCCGCGTCGCGTCGGGTTGTTATTCCATCGTCACCGCGGAGGCGGCGGTAGTTCATCCCGCCTGGGTGCGCCACGTTCCATGGCGGTGTGTCACGTTTACTTGTTGCGCGGCGAACGATACTGCAAAACCCCTGTCGCTACCACTGCCGCCTCGTTACTTCGCACCCCTACACTGCTCACAATAAAGCACAATACATCCCGACACATACTTAAACGCAACCAACGGTAAATTGCTTTTTGTACATGTGTGTATTGGGTGGTCTGCATTAACCAGCGGAAGCTAACTGTTACTTTTTACTGAATGCCAACAACCAGCTTTGCATTCGACATTCAATCATTGTTTTGATCCTTTTCTACCTCCCTGGTGGGTTTTATGAGTATTTAACGATGGACGTTTTACTTCCGCAATTAACCTGACAATTTACGACTGTTTTCCATAGTTCCAAGTGCTTTTTGTAGTATTTTGCAGAGGTTATGTTGACTGAAAAGATTTTTTGCTTTCTTGCGGCGCGCAAAAGACGGGAAAACAATAAAAACGTTCGATTATGGGTCGTTATGAGCGGCGAGGTTTATAGTTACTTTATGCAATCGATTTTAATGCCTTTGCATTAAAGCAAAACGTCGCTTTGCGGAGATTAATGCGTCGTAAATGCGCCAATTAATTTCACTGTACTTCAGGCATGCAACCAAATAAACACCACAAAATAATGATTTAATTCAATTTATATCATTCGTTGATTCATTTAATTGCGCATTATATAATACCACAATTAAAAGTTAATTAAATGCAATTAATCACGGATTTTCGATAACAATATTCGAAATAATTCGAAACAAAACGATTTTATTGATTGTGCACACAATATGCAGCCAAACCGACTTAATCTGGGTCGTGTATGTTTGGTGTAGGCACTATAGATTTAACACAAAGGGAACATAATCAAATATTGACTTATTTGAATAAAACATTATGATGGAAGGGGTGTGCGAGAGATTGAATAATTACTGTTTGAGGAAGTGTGTATTCAATTTAAAGTTTGCTTCACAATTTGCTGCACAGCTCAAAGACACTGAGAGAGCAGAATGAGGATTGAACAGGGAACGATGTAAATACAAGTTTGCTTTTGGAACATTCAATAAAGCTATAGAAATAAAGGAGTTAAGTGAAAATATGTGTATATGTTAACTATAATATAAAAATGAATCGCAAAATCTGTTGGTAAGCGCATAACTCAACAACGACTAGACCAATTTGGCCAATTATTTATTTTAAATGTTCGTTAAAGTCCAAGGATGGTTTTTACGGCAAGAAATATTTGAATAATTGCCAGGAAAACCCTAAAGGCAGCCCTTTTCGATAAGATAAAAGTTGGCATTGAGATTCAATCATAGTTATAGTTAAATAGTTGAATCCGAGATGGCGTGCTGAAGTGCATTATTAGCAATTCTTTATATAATTAATTTCTTTATAATAAAATTGCGAATCTTATTGATAGAATTAACACATACTATGTCTTGAACTAGGGAGTAAAATTAAATTACATTTTTATTATACACTACCGGGACGAAGTCGCGGGCAAAAGCTACTAGTATTTAATAGTTATTTCATATTTGTACGCTTAACATAGCGTGAAACAAGAGTAATTTGTAGTTTATAATGGTTGACAATGGCAAAATGGCGTCACATGTTACAAACAGTAACTATTCCATTTCTGCACCGAAACAAATCAGACTTTTCTCAACTTTAACTTCACCGCCCCATTACTTTTACATTACATTTTCTCCAGTCTGACAATCATTTTGTTTTGTTTGTATTTTCTGTATTTTTTGTTTGTATACGAAATTTTAGTTTGCACGATCCGTAATTTTTTATTGGGGCTTTACCTCTCACAATTTTTGCGCACGTTTGCGGGATTTTGCACGTTTGCTTTTTTGTGCGTTTTCCACTATAAAGCTTTAAACCACGAGGTTTTCGTCTCGTTGAAAACGTGTATTTTTTATATAAAGGTGGCGGTTGAGCTGGGGGGTGGTTATTATATGCATCGGATGCTCCGACGCTTCGCTAATCCTTTGGAAAAGCACGCCGCGCCGCGAAACGTGCCCGATTCAGGGCGCCGACACAATTAAATATTCCGTTTCGCTTCGCTAGACCCTACTCGCCGCAGATCCGCAACCGCCTGTAACATAAACGTTGCTTTCATCCTTTCATCTCAATTTTCGTTGTGTTTACTTTACACACCTATGCTATCACATATAAAACCCACATAAAACCTTACAAAACAAAACGTAAACCACAAAAATGTCATTAGTTTCGTTTAATTTTTACAGTTTCCGACTTTACCCAACAACTTAGTCAGATGTACGAACAACACGCGGCAGAATTACAACATCTTGTTGCGAATTTCCGCAAGCGTAATGGTGAATTACGAAAGGAAAGGTAGGCAACCCAAACTATCTCATGTAATATTTACAGTTAGTGATTGTGTTTTTTTCTGTTTGTTATTTATGTAGACCGGCTTGTGCCAGTTCAATCTTTCACACTTGGGAGACTCTCCTGCAAGAGGTTGAGATTGATTCGCAGGCGCTCGGTGACATCGCGTCCATCTTGGGTCGTCAAGTGTCTCGGCCCTTGTTGGAAAAGTCATTCTACCGCAAGATTCAATCCCGCAAGGTGTTCACGCATCGCGAGAGCTACGAGACGATCATTGCCAAGACCGAAGAGAAACTTGTCAAAGTGAGTAATACAGTAACAAAGTAAGAAAGTTAACGAAGTAAATAACCTCAACCAATGATTAATTTAATTCTTTATCATTTTACCATGGAAATATTATAATATTGTGCAATTTAAATTGCAGTGTCGGCAGGAATACAAAAACGCATACGTCATGTACTTATCATCTCCGTCGACTGAAACGCTGAGTGGTTATTTTAACAGCCACAACGCTTACGTCCAACAATTGCATGCGACGAATGGAATGCTTGATGAATACGGCAAGGAAACACTACCGCAATTATTACAGGTCAGTAAAATATAAAAATTAATTCTATAATATAAAAATAAATCGCAAAATCTGTTGGTAAGCGCATAACTCAACAACGCCTCGACCAATTTAGCCAATTCTTTTTTTTAAGTGTTTGTTAAAGTCCAAGGATAGTTTTTACGGCAAGAAAAATTTGAATAATTGCCGGGAAAACCCCCCATTGAGATTCAATCATAGTTGTAGTTAAATAGCTGAATCCGAGATGGCGCGCTGAAGTGCATTAATAGCAATTCTTTATATAACTAATTTCTTTAAAATAAAATTGCAAATTTTATTGATAGAATTGACATTTTTATAAATCTCTACCGGGACGACGAAAATATTGCTAAAAATATATAAAAACGCCTTTTAGATTTACTTAAATATATTCTGGCAGAAACATATTTACATTTTATGCACTTAGGTTGTATTTTCTAGTAATTCATCAGTCATACCTCAAAAACTCTTTTCACGAACTCATCTCTCAAAAGAAAAATAAAACTCGCATAAAATATGGCAGCATCTTACAGCGCGGCAGTTGAAGTTGATATTAAACTTGTTTTTTCTTCTTGTAAGTCGTCTTCAGCTGGCATAAAGATTTTCCATGCGGTCGCTTCTGTTCTGATGTTTTTATATCGTCGTGCAGCGCGTTTTTATTTACACGCTCATCTTCATGCAGACTTTTCAATTCAATATTTTACGTTGGCATTTCAACGAGTGCGCCGCGACAAGCGCACGAGTCGTACAAAGACATGAAAAGTTTTATCGGAAGGTGGATCATAAAATAAATTGCAAAACTCATGAAAATCAGCGATGTGATTTACAAGCAGCATGTTCAATACAAATAAGTCTCAAATAAATTAAACATATTTACGAATCATATTATTTAACATCTTGTTTGGATTTATATATTTTTTTATTTTTAAAGTAAATAAATGTTTTTAAGTACAGAAAATCAATTACTTTTAAAAAGAATTTCAGTAGTAGTAAGTTTTTAAAGTCAATTTGTTTAGAAATATATAGGTTTTCAATTTACAAAACAACTTTACAGAGTATTGCATTACGCTACGAAAGGAAATAAAAAGAAAACTTCCTGCATCGGACCGAAAGCAATATGATCACTCCGTGAGCGTTTAGTTTGCTCATTTCCGCCAGGCGCGGATGTTAAATTACTTGCCAGATGAAAATACTAGATAAATATCATCAATGTAAGATAATTTAATTTTCACTGCAAAATTACTTCTTTAATCTAATTTTTAAACAATTTCATTTCAATTTCACAAATTATTCGTTTTTTTTTACTTCCAATTTTAAAACGTGGTACTTTAAACACGAACGGCCCAAGTTGTGGCTAAAGTACTTTAGTAACGAGCTTTAGTCACGGGGTAGAGCTTGCGCCTGCGCATTTGCCTTCGGAGCAGCACAACACCATATGAAATTTCATTCGTCGTCAGTAAGTGTCCGGCGCGGGACACGGCATTTACAACCTTTCATTTCTCGGTAGTGTGCGAGCGAATTTCAAACATTTACAATACAAAAGTTTAAATAGAAATACCCTAACGTAGAAATAGAGTAGAAGTAAACAAAATAGCGTAAGCATCACGTGGCTAAACGTTGTTAAACACGACAAAAACTCCTGTTTAGCCACTTGTTACTTAATATGCTATTATTCCCCCATTTACGTTCTATGCCATACCCAAAATATCAGGTTTGTAGTCTGTACTCAGGTTGGACATTATTGATGATCTTGTTTACTTTCGCCTTTTTTGGCTCCGAGCGCAATTAATAAATACATCACGCATCCTGATCGGCAAACACATAAAAAACAAAACGACATATGAACGAGTGCTTCTACATTATATCCACATCAGTTGTGAACCGACGTTTTTACTATAGCGATAATCGCTCGTTTATAACCGACGAGTGGCGGCCATATTTGATTAGTGTTGACGCACACTACACGTCTACACATCGTAATCCGCTCGTGGGAAACTGTACAACTTGCAGAGTGAAAAACTTGAGCTAGGCATTAACATCGTTATTCACTTGTTGCTTGTTTGTAATCGCACCCATTGTTACAGTTGAAGAAACTTTTAGAGCAATGCTAACAAGAAATTGGTTATTCTCGTAAATCGTCTATTATCTACTTAGGATATCGTTTTTCTTCCATGTAGACAACTTGTGGACTATCTAAATGTTTGTAATAAAAACTTTGTTTAAATGCAGTAAAATTATCTTAGTGAATTTAGAGCCGATTAGGGAATGAAACTACCAGCGATAAATAACACTTTTGCTAGTTTTGGCATTAATGCCGTCTAGACAGCAATGCCCGACGAAAGCAGCAAGGATAACGCGATTAACGCTCTACGCAGTTAGCTGCGAGTGCTTAATCAGCATAAATAAATTTTAATTAGTCTAGAATTACAAATTATACAATAATTTAATATTTATCAATTTAAAATATTTTAAAATATCCAAAGAACATGGTGTTATATGAGAATTTATTTTCGTGACTTGTTAATTTCAATGTTGTTTTTGTTGCTTGTTGTTGTTTGCATATTGGTAATTCGATAATAAGTTCTTCAGCTGTTAGCAAGTTTTCGAACGAGGCTGGAATAAACAAAAACGCCACAGCATGCATGCAAAACCGAAGAGTTTACCCGTTCGTCGGCGAAAATTTAATCTCGCAGCAAGAGACTAATAACATCGCGTTATTACTCACACTTATTAATGCTTTAATGAAAAATAACAAAATAACAAGACGTCTTAAAATGCTAAAACCATTAAAAACACATTAGCTACACAAAATTAATTCAAAACAAGACTAGCTTAAAATTAATTATGTTATTTCACTACAGATGGCGCTAGTTTGACATGTTTTGTTTTAAATACACCGTTTTTAAGGTTATATGAAGTTTGTCGGTGGCCAGCTCTTGTTCTGGTTATTTGCCTTCGTATAATCATAAGTTATTGCGTTTTGGGTGAGTTGACGAAGGGATCCAGCCGAAAAGGACGGCTTGAGCCGACGGCGGCTCAGGATTGCTGTGGCGTTGAGAGTGGCTGCTTAATATTAATTAAGGGACACCCGGGTCGCGCTCCTACATATATACCCTCACCCCTCGACTCTTCAGAGGTGATTTTAGAAGGATATGTAATGCGATAACATACTAGCTTACCAGCACAACATTGTAGGAAATATTAAAAGCTATTATTGGAGGTTAGACAGTTTACTTCACAACAACAATTTTTTTTACTTTGGTTTATCGCTTGTCACCGGTTTTTTATCGCACTCGGTGCGCAGATTAGAATCCTGCAATCCGATTGAGGGTGATTTTGATGGATCGATGATCGGATCGTGTTCGCAGCGACTGATTGATGTTCGCTATGTTGTGCACGTGTGTGACGCTGATGCACTCGGAGCGCCACTCGAAAATTATCTGTCAATCGCGAGCGTCAAAGCATCGAGTGAGCTATCCGCTTGGTGACCAAAGAGAAAACAAAAACGAAACGTCAGCGCCAATTCAATTAAGTTCTTTGACAATTGATGGCGCCACTTACAAACAAAACCAATAAAACACTGCCCGACATAAAAGGAACCGTATACGTGCGTATAAAGATTTAGAATAATATGTATGACATGTAAAGTGGGGAATAGATTATGTGTTAAGTGGGGAAAGTTGTAAAGGTTTTTAATTGCGTTCTATATCCTTGAAAAACGATCTTTTGAGCGTGAAAATATGCACGCTCATACTATATGCGCTCTAGGGTGGTGAAAAGGAATGTTGTAGTCGGGTCGATATCATATTTAGTTCGCTTTCGTGAGCTCGCAACGTCAGCGATGATGATGAATAAATATTTCGCTTCGTGCCTTACATACGCAAATTAAAATTCAACACTGAAGTCAAGGTTATGACACAAGTGCTGCCCTCTAAAGATGACAAGAACAGAAAACACTTGAATGCAACCAACATAGCACAAATACAAACCGCAAACTATTCAAAATTAGTAGATAATAATAAATCTAATTAAATTTCCCGATGCAGTGCACATTTTTATTGTTATTTTAGTGGTGATCCTTGACATTGACTTTTGTGCTGGTTAAGAGTCCTTAAGTGTGCTTTGTATTGCAGGAACTCGAGGAGATCTACACTGATCTGTGTGCGACCCTCACCGAATCCGTGATTCAAGGTGCCGAAGTTGTCGCAGCAAGGGTAAGTTTTTTTTTATTCGGGGGATTTCTTTTGGTAATTAATTGTATAAAAACTTTTAATTGGATAAAAATCTTTAAATCCTGAGCAAACTTGAAATAATTTACAATTCGTAGAGAATTCATAGAATTTCTTATTCCACGGACAATTCCAACTTGTGTAAGTGGGTTATGAGAGCGGAACTTCCGGCAAGAATTGTTCGAGTCCTTGAAACTAGCGTTGAGTGCTTTTCACGCCAAAGATGCAATTTGGGAGCAATTGTCTAGCACTTTGTTACACTTTACAATTATTTCTACACTTTGATTTTTCCTTTATATTTAAACAAAACATGAGATTAAGTTTTTTGCGAATCACGTAACAAGTGTTAAGAATCGCTAAGACTTTTAATGAACTTGCGAGGCGACATCCACGTCGTTCATCGTCGTCAGAAGCAAACAAAAACAAACTTTTCAATTAAACTTACTTTGTTCCGACTGCATCCTTTTTCATCTTAAATTCTACGTCTCTTCATTTCCGCTAATTGCTTGGCGTTAAATATTCTCCAGTAGTCCTGTTCGTCCGAGTCTTTTATAAAGTGTACTTTAACAGGTTTAAAATTAAAAAAGAAGTAAATTAATTTGCGGTGCTTAATTAATGTGATTTTGCTTTAGGCTATGGAACAAAATCGTCGATACGAAGGTTTAATTTCACAATGTAAGGCCGCAAATGGTACAAGCGACTTGGTACATCTTGCAAGAGCCCTTCCTGTACCTCAAGGTCGTGCCCCACCCTTGAAACGTCTCTTTGTACCGCCTCAACCGCCCCCACAGCCACAGGAAGGCGATGGTGAAGATGGACCAATCATTTCGAACGTAATAATTAAAATTTTATTATAAATAATTTGTTTTTGTAAAATAATTACTTCACAGGAAAATATTCCACCTCCATTGAAAGACGAGCTGGTGATAGACCGCCTCTCTGCCGTCCAGGTGCGTCCCTCACATGACGCCCTCCGAAAAGAAGCCGTCGATCTAGACCTCCAAATCAGACAAATCAACGACGCGCTGGAAACGCTCATTCGTCTACAACAACGCTCCGTGGAAGCGCAACTTTTCAACAAGGCCAACGAAATTCAGGAAGACATCAGTATGAAACGATTTGATCTTAGAGTAGCACAACTCCACCTCAGCGCAATTCATGCCCAGGTGAGTAATGTACACATTTTTATTCATAGCGCATCCTATGCCATTTTAAGGATTTAGAGTAGCTTAAAGTTTAAATAGGCGGTACTTAAACTTTAATGAAAATTTATTACCGAGGCCTATAAACGAAAATGTTGAGTAATAGTTGGTACGTGCGCTCGTACTGAATTACCTTACTGAATGTCCTCTTTTCTCATTCTGCGGCGCTTGAGTACTTTAATCACTTTCGTACCCGTTGCGCAATCTACCGGCGTGTAGTGAAAGTCTCTTTTGGTGTTGCTTCCTCTTGTGTCTTTTTTGAGCAATGCGCATCGCATCTTCCCTCGTGCGCATGATGTCCTGGAGGCGGTAGAACGTCGATAATTTTTGACCTACCCCAGGACACTGCGCGCTCTCCATCGTCAGTGCGGCACCCCGCTCGTCGCTCGCCGAACGTCGTTTAACCCACATATTTTCGCTCTCCCGCTCAGCTTTGGCACACTTTTCGCACGCGTTTCCGCATTGTGAGAAAAATTCTTCGTTTTGTGATCGTGAATGTACAAAGTGCTTTAATCCGCCAAGGAAACGTGTCTGTGATTCGATATCAATCGGGTAATTAGTCACAATAAATTAAAGTAACACATTGTGATTAAAACTGTTGAGAACGTTGACATTTGTTAAAGAATTGCAAAGTTTAATCCTGTTAAAACAAAGAGTAATACCAATTTATAATTGTTAATAGAGTACGAAACATATCTAGTTTTTCATATCCGGCTTGTCGTTGACCGCAAGTAATCAATTAATCCTCAATAGCTAATTAAATTAGCTAGATAAAAGTAATTCTCGGCGCGGTTTCGTGTAACTATCAATCGTTAAATGGGGTGGGTGAGTCTCCGCACTCATTTGGTAAGCAAAAACAATTGTTTTCAATGTCAACACACATGTTGTGTACTGTTTGATGTTTAATGTCTCTTCTTTTCTTATAGTAAAATAATAATACAAACAAAAAGACAAAAAGTAAAAAAAAAGTTAGCATATAAAAAGATCGTGTTACACGTTGCGAGCGTATTCAATTTCTCCCTCGCGTGACGTCAGTAGGTTCTTCGCCCTTTTCTTCACAACGCCACGCACGTAATCTATCAAAATGTATCGAGTAATCGTTAAAAAGAAGGTATGCAACCGAACTGACAATTTCCACCTACTCAACAACAAACCAACCTCCATTAGCGCGCACATGTTCGTCATTAGTCACATTCTGCCTCCCCCTTAATGTACCTTTTTGTGGTTACTATGTGAGTTAGAGCTAGAAATAAAGATAAATTGCGTCGTTACATTAACCGTAATGAAACATTATTGCGTTATTAGTTCGGTATGTGTAGGTAACCTTTTGAGTAATAACACCAAACAGTTGACCTTCAAATAGCGCCCTCTAGTGAGTAGAACATAATATTTTATGTTTCTCTCAAGTTTTTGATTTGATTTATGTTAGATTCTAGATATAAATAGAATACTTTTACAAGGGTAAAATTGATTTTTGTGTTTTTCGCTTAGTTTAACACGAATTTATCTTTTTTCTCTTGTGACGTGAGTTTGTTTTCGTTATCGCAAACTTTGAACGTTCGAGCCATTCGTCTTGATTTCATTCTGTTTTCCCGCAGCTTCCCAGGACGAATATAAATGGAAAAGGCAATTTTCCCTTTTGCACGATCCCTTTGGGAGTGAAAGCAAATCAAATTCGTATCCTGTCATTCTCCGAACGAGTTATCTCAGTTATAACATTCCGAAATCAAAATGAAGCATTGATTAGTTTTTGTGGCTGACGTCGTTGGCAGAAATTTAAATATGTTTTTGGATTTGAATCAATTTTCATTATATTTCTCGTTTTGTGAAACAATTAAACTTTAACGAGCGCAATATTTTCGTTCTATTTCAGGCAACAAAAGCGCGCTTGTTAGTCATTCCATAAATTAATTATGTATATCTCGTTTTTCGCCCTCGCTGTCCGTATCATGAATTTTCAATGACACAATTTTCGATGCTCGCGCGCCTCACATAATTCCACATACACACGACTACTATCGCATTCTAACCCTATTTACTCTGTATTCACATTGGGTCTGAGCATCTATCAACATTATTTCGGCGTTTTGGACTGTTCTATTATTGGTATTGATTTGCCACTTCCAATTCCAATTTACATTTCACCCAACAATTTCCCCGAACGTCCGGCGGTGCGGTCTATGAGGATTTTGTGGATTACAACTCGGGAAGGGACGAATTAATGTCGTGTCCGATTGAGGTGACAGGCGCCTCCACCAATAATCCAACATAAATTTATTGGTGGCAGCTAAATTTAGAATTTTTGACAATTTTGACATGTAGCTGAATGTAAACATACTGTATGTTTTTGAAACTAGCGCAGACGTGATTTGCAAATCCGAATATCTATTGTGCGGTTTAGTGATTGTCATTTGCATGCAATGTTGACGCTGTTGTCCTATTTTCAAGTCTAAAAATATCCCTGGAAACCGCAAGCGAATTAGCAACCCAGTCATCCATCTCTTCACCTGCATATAATCGCATTTGAAACTAACTAAGTGAATTTGATTTTTCTCTCTCTATAAATTCGCGGTCGGCCTGCAGAAAGAGCTCTTCTCGAACAAGTTAGACAACGCGTCAGGTGCGGGAGGCGGCGGTGATTCGGGTCGTGAACGCAAGATGTCCAACGCATCCCAAGGCAGTATGAAAACCAAGTGGTTAAAGGCTTTTAAAAGCCTCAAAACACCACCACCGGAGGCAGACAAGTAAGTTACCGCAAAATATTACTAATAATGCATAAAATTCATTAAATATTGATCATTAATCATTTCTTTTGATCGAATTCTTTAGGTTTATTTAATGATGCGTGTGTTTTATGCCATTAACCACACGAATTTAATTGATTTTGTCTCTTGTTTTTCTCTCACTCTCCACGTACGATTACGTTTTACCGCCAAACATGTCGCCATCTATGTGTTCAAACCTCAACCTCAAACGTCAATAAAGAAAAAACCAAATGTACCACGCTGTATCGACGATCATACAGATGAGGTATGCGCATCCGTTGTTCCGACTAAATAATCTTGTGCAAGCAAATATACCAAGTACCGTAAGATGTAATGAGAGTGCGAGCTCCTCCTCACGCCACCCCTTTCACACCAACAATGACACCACCCACAATAGCTCCGCCCACGCGATGGGACGCGACGCAATATCGATTGTTCTCGTTTTGTTGACGCTTTCATGTTGTCCCTCACACTCTCTTTCAATCTACTCTATTCAATTCTATTCTATAACTATGTGATTTTCCTATTCTCTGCTCTCTATCTCTCTTGAAACGACAGTGCTAGACAGTCGCTTGCTTGCACCGTGCGGACTTGCAATAACTGTAAACGTGTGGATCGTGTGATCGAGACTTTTTGATGGACTCTACTCTTCTCTGGATTTAGGCAACCAAACATACCTTTCACATCATATGCAGATGTTTGAAACGTGTGTTTGTTACGTTTTAGTCGCTATAGTAACAAATTAGTGACTTGAATAGCGCACAAAATTTACAAATCATACACCGCCATCTTGTTTTCATACAACACTCATCATGTTATTTAAGTTGAGCACGAGAACAATGTTTATTTGTCGCTTCATATATGTGTCGTAATCACAACGTCATTGTCTTACCAACAGCATATTCTAGCATTACGTGTTGATCTTGTACTGATGAGCACACTTGACTATAGTCTCGGCACGTTGTCTCTTTGGCGTACTGTCTGAACTTGTGAACTTGCTAGTGTTGTCGCTAGTGTCGCTAGTGCGAGGCGTGTCCTCCACCGAATGTGGGCATGTAGCTCGTGGGCGTGGCCAACAAAACAACTTACCTCCGAATTTGGAGCAAATTTTAATTTTTGTTTGGAATAAAATAGGAAAAATGGTTCGGCAGCTACCAAAGAACTTCTCAAAGGAGATCCAGATGCGCATAACTTCCAAGAGTACACCTACAAGAAAATCACACCGTGTGATGTCTGCTCACAAGTTTTAAGAGGTTAGACTTTTAAATTTTAAATATTTTTTATTATTAATTTTTTTGGTAATTTTAAAGGTCACACTAAACAAGGGTTAAAGTGTCGTATCTGTAAATTGAACGTGCATCTCGATTGTCAAGACAAAGCTAATAAGTGCACCGCAAAGGCCCGCCTTCTACGAAGACAAAAATCCACCTCCGAGATTGAAACAAAAGCGATTGAACCATCTTCCGTCGAAGAAGAGAGTGAGTTTTTTTCCTTTTAAAACATTTCAATCTCATGATTCAATCTTAAGTTAGCGATGAAAACAATTTTGAACACTTTGTATATAAAACTTAATAGGTTATTTTGATGACACATATTCGGGCATGCCGACAATCAATCGCCAGCTGTCAATACGCGATTCAAGCCGCTCCCCGCAGCCATCGTCGCAACAATTGCCCGCCAACTTTATGCCCAACTCGATAGGTAGACAACACGCGCATCACGGCGACACACATCAATCAAATCTAACCAAACATAATAATCTCAATAATATCCATCATTATCTGCTTTCTAAGTTATGAAAACGTCCGTTTTATTGTTTCGTTGTTGATTTTGTTGTGGTTTGCATCCAATAACCGGAAATCAATGTGTTTGTTGCATCCGCTTGTGCCGCCATTTTGCGAAACAGAAGCGTCCGAGGTGGACCTCATCTATCAGGTGCTCAAGCAGGCCGGCGAGATATCTAGCAACAAGACACCACCACAATCGCAACAGGGTCACCCATCGATGATGCAGCAGGTGGCGGCAAGTAGTGGTGCCACGCCCACCGTCGGCATCCAATTGGAGCGCGGCGCAACGCCATCTTCATCAGGGCAGAATCTTAATAGGTTGGGTTTGCGTCCGCCTAGTGCGGCCCCACGCCAAACTGGCTCAAGCCTGTGCGTCGTTAATCCTGCTCCTTGCTCAACCAGCTCAGGTTTGTCCCTTATCAAACCTTTTAAACAATATTTACTTATGGAGAAACCCCATTTTAATTTTTTAATTTTCTGAAGAAGATTCAAAGCGATAGGAGTAGCATTTTTGAGCGCATGTTTATTCGTGCCTTTCTTTTCAAAACCACGCCCCTTATTCTCTCACTCCCTGATATTTTCCGCCCCGAAAACAACAGAAGGAAATTAAAACTTTTCGAATTTGCTCAAACGAACGCAAAAGTTAACACGAATCATGTAATATATTGACGCTGTCATTTTTAGCTTTCCACAGGGCTTTCTCTTTGCAGTGGGCGTGGCTTTTCAACTGGGCGTGTGACAAAAGCGTGTGTAGTGTTGCTAGTGACTGTGCGCATTACAGAATTTTACTGATTGTGATTGTGGTTGGTTAGATCGTAGGACGTCGCAAGGGCAAGGCCAGTCCGCTGCGGCTCCGCCCACAGGCGCCGAGGGCACGTCGATGCGGCGCAGGATTTTCGCCGGAATGAAAAGTCTCACCGGGTTCGGATCGAGGTCGAGACGCGGATCGCCCGGCCATCGTTCCATCTCTCTGCCCGAAAGTACGCGCCGCCAAACGCTCACACTTTTATTTTTGGTTGATTTTTAAACGAAACACGCCTACAAGTATAAAATAACAACAAAACAATTGATATTAATATCTTGTTTTGTTGTTTTTTGTACTTATGATTTGTTTTGCTGTCATTCTGTCAGTTTAGTGTACATAACCCCCATTATTACACATCTCTTCATGTTCTTTGTACTTTCATGTTCATGTTAATATTGGCTAACGATTTCCCCTGTGTCTGATGCGGATGTCGTTGATGTCTAGCTGTCCCCGCCCCCATTTGATTGGCTTAACTCCACCCAATTTATTTTAATTCGTATGGACCTGCATTTCGATGTCAATTCCGTGATGCCAATCCCAATGTGTATAACTGCTTGCATACCATTTATATATCTACTCGTCATTTCATGTCTTTCGTTTGTCATTTGTTTTTGATTTTTGGCAACGCTGCGAATATAACTGCTGACATCTACACACGCGTGTATAAACATAACCAAGTAAATTGGCTTCCATCATCGTAGCGTTTTGGAGTAGTTTTTGAACAGTATTCTCGATTGCTCCTTTGAAAACCAAGCCAAACCTATTTTTGAGTGGATTTTTTAAAATATCTTTTGTGTTTTTGATATTTTTTGTTCTCCTGATACAAAAAATGGATACCAAACATCAGAGAGATGGAGCGAAAGTCATTTTTATTTATTTGACATTTTGACTCTTTTTGACATTTTTGATTATATTTTGACAGTTGTTTCACTAACGCGTGGTTTGCAGTGGCTTTCTCTGACCAACCAAAAGCAGCCAATCAAAAAATGACCCAATTTCTTGTTATTTGCGACGTTTAGAGAGGAAATCGACGGACGCGTCAGGCACACGACCATTCGGCCAGCCGCTCATCCTCAGTCCCGAGTGCGAGAATGGCAACGGTGTGACCACAGGCGGCGGAGGTGGTAGTGGTGGAGCAACAGGGGGCAGCGATAGTGAAACTTTCCTGACGCCGCCCTCAACGCCCACCACACATCCGCCTCCGTCGCCGTCGCCCTCTAAGGGGGCACGTGCCACGCCCACCAAAAAGCAGTCGGCCGCCAGCAGCGCCAACGGTGCCAGCAAGTCCAACAAAAAACACTGAAGCTCAATTATTCTCTCGATAAACTTTCCAACGAACAAAGCAAAGAATTAAGCCACACTGTATTGCTCCGTGTAATCAACGAAAGCGTTTGTTTGTTCCTCATTTTACCTATACGTTTATTCGTTTTTAATTTTCGTTTCACGTTATTTACCTACTTGTACGAGTACCGTTTATAATTTGTTGTTAATCGATGATTGTTGTTATATATATGATGAAGGGAAATATACCTATAAAGTTACTCTTAGTTTCACATTTGACAACATCCAGCTGTCAAATAACAATATTCAAGGTTATATTTTTATATTTTTGAATTTTTTTATACTATTTTGTTTATTTTAACGCGCATATCAAGCGAAAAGTTTTAATGGCCGTAAAACCTAGTATCCTCCACCGAGCACAACTCACGCAACCCTTAAATTAACCCTTAAACATAACATTAAATTCCCATAAACCAACAAGCTCAGAATGACTGACATTCTCACAATGTGCTTTCAAATCAATAGATGGCGTTAGTTGATTTAGTGCTTTTCATCAATAGATGACGCTACTTAAAAAGCTTTTTGATTAGGACGTAGATTATCATCTAGATTCTAGATTAGCAATTAAACATTAGAAATATGTATACAAAATTGATAGGTTTAATTAACTTTAGTTTAGTTTAGTTTTTAGTTGAAAAAGGGGCTCTGATCAAACAAGAATACTATGTGTTGTTGTTTTCTGTTTCTGTTTGGTTTTGTGTGCGTGGCCGACGATTAGGGATGAGAAGCATGAGGAACTCGTCGAGCGCTGGCAATTTTAAAACCGAAACGGGACAAACACACAATCATTATGTCGGTCTGTACTAAGCGTTTTGGGTTTTTCGATTTTCGTTTTGCATAAGCTACCAACAAATTATTATACCTACCAAATAGTTTTTTTTATCCGCGTACAGTAGTTAGAAGTAAACAACTAGCACCAGAAATAATTGTGGTTACAGTTTGACTTATATTATCAATTAGTTAGTTTGTTTTTCTTTCTAAGAGTTGAAAATGCAACAACACTCACCCGTAAAAAAATGACTTGTCTATCGACCGTTCAGAGCAAAGTAGAATAATTTTTTGCAGGCAGTAGAATGTTTTTCTTCTGTTTGTTTCTCTAAAACTTTTTTCTTCAAATTTCTTCAAACGTTAAGCACTGACTTTTGTTATCTAGAATATTTCTGATGTTTCTGATGTTCTGTCAAGTGTTTTGTGATCTTGAGCATGCGCTTGTGAAGTACAAATACACAAAATGTTAGCTGTGTCGATACGACATCCTTCCGTGCAGTTGTGATTAACATGGCGGCCATTTTATAGCACCGCACTCGCCGCGCCGCCAGAAGTTGAATCTGCGCATGAAGTCACTCTCTCTGGATTCTCCTGAAAGCACCGAGCACGTGCAACGTCGTCAGCATCGTGGTGCCGCTGCCACCAGTGACCCTCATTCCAATCAGGGATCTTCATCCAGGATACAATGTTAGTCAACTTCTACATTAACTCTTAATTCTTATATTCACTTAATTTACTATTCTTCTTTCTTTGATAAGCACGTTTGAACAATTTTTGAATAATACATAGAGAAGAGGTTAGAAATTTTGGTGAAGAAGTTTTGTTTCATACTTCTGTTGTTGTATCTTGTGGTCTCGTGCATGTTTTTCTCTATCTCTCTCTGTTTGGCGCACCCAGTGTCGCAGGTCGGCCATCTTGGTGCGCTGCGACTGGCCCACCATTGCCATCAGGTCCAAGTAGCATCCAACGCAAGCGAGTCAATTAACTCAAGTACGCACTCTGGAAGTAGTGTATTACGCTCATTTTCCTTTTTCATTACTGTTGTCTGGTAACAGAATAATTATTCTATTATATTCAAGTTGTGCATGCTTGTTTCGGGACGAGGTGATGATGCGCATGTTAATTGTGTTGAGTTTCTTTGACACGGTGTATTAATGGCGAATGTTGCAGCGCCCTCTAGCCCAGTCCACAATCGTCGTTTGCTATCCGCGAAAAACATTCGCATGTCCTCTGTGGAGCTACCGGATGATAATGAGAAATCTCCAAGTTCCGCTAGTACTTCACCATGTCCCAGCCCAGTTGGTGGAAAGGTAAGAAGTGGTTTTGTAATGGTTAGAGTTATTTAGATGGTTGTTTTGTTTAGCATAAGCCACATCGTCTCCTCCCAACGAATTTATATGTGGTGTTGTACAACTTTAAGTCAAGACATCAAGATGAGTTGGATTTGAAAGCAGGATACAAGGTCACAGTCATTGACACCTCTGATCCTGATTGGTGGAAGGGTAAATGTTTGGGACGCGTTGGTTACTTTCCGAGCAAGTATTGCTCAAAACTCTCACCAGGTGAAAAACCCCTACAGGTAAATATAAATATCCTACCATAAAACTTAAATTATATTAAAATTTATTTCTAGGTCACTCACAACTTGCAAGTATCCGATGGTGACAACGGTCTCATGTTATTGCGTGATCAAATCGTGATCCAGATCGGTGAGGAACTGGATGGTATGGTTATGATCCGCTCCGGGGACAACCGCCAAGGAGTTTGTCCCGTCAAGTTCCTGCAGGAGGTGTGACAACGCTCCGAGGCCGCTTGTCAAGTTAATCAAGTGTGCACCTGTAACCAACACCACCACCAACAGAAACAGCAACGTTCCCATCACAACGACATTTCCACCAAGAACAAAAGCACTAGCACGCAGCACGACGCCGGTAAAACCCTACAAAAGATCTACTATCCATATCCGCAACTTCCCGACTACTCGCCGAAGCCCACCCTGCAAATGCCACCCAGGAGTAAGAAGAATAACAAGAACAAAGCAAAGACCAACTCGACTACAGTTAAAAACAACTCCAAACCGCCAAAGAAGAACAAGAACTTTTTTCAGTTCTACAACAATTCATTTAATTTTAGTAACATAGGCAACTTTAACAACAACAGCAGCAGTAACAACAGCGATTTCTACAAGAATAATACTTATTTGGCGAAGCAGAATAATCTAAACAACATCAACAAGATTTTTGTTAATCAATTGAATGCTAGTGAAGATAGTCCGAGGAGATTACCAAGTTATAAGAACGGTTATAAAAATGGCGCTGTTTGTAACAGCGGTAAAGCGCCATTTTCTTCTACCAAGCGACCGTTATCAATGCGACTAACTTCTCCGAAGAATTTCTTCACGCGTAAATTCCGCAGCGACTCACAAAAACGTCCGCTGTTATTAGAGGCATACAGTTGTGCTTCGTCAACAAGTAATCTGCTGAATGATAATGAGCAAGAGCTTGAACATGAACACGAGATGGTGCCGCCGTATACAGAAGATGGCGACAATTATTTAGAAGATGATCAGCGCGGTAGTTTGAAAATTGTTCCCGCATCGCGTCACGGCCTCAGGATCTACACAATCAGCGAGAATGTCGAACGGTTTGCATTTAAGAGCACGTTCTATCGCAGTAAGAATCTCTACATCTCGTCGAACAGTCGACCCCTCTTCGTACGTAAATAAACTATAGTCTAACCATAAATACCAACATACCAAATATGAATTACACCGTAAAAAGAAAAACCAGAGAAAATATATTGTGTGGGTGGGTAAATGTGAGAGAATAGCCGAGTCGAGAACCTTTTTAAGTGAGAAAACCTATTTTTGTAAAACAAAACAAAACAAAAACACAAAACCTAAAGGAAAAAAGACGATTAATATTTTTGGGACGAAACAAATAGGTCGTAAAACTTACCACTTAACCTAAAAAATATTTACGAAATAAGCTGCACTGATTCACACCACATTGAACACGCTTTAAAGTCACACTTTGCTATACACACTATTAGATGGCGCTGCAGGTACCAACGCGAACATAAATTCAACTAGTCGACGCAAACAAAAAAGGGTAAATAACGGAATTGAACTTTGTTTTTGGATTACTATCGAGTAAGCGATACACTACTACATACATGTTGTTTAGTTGCGTACGACTTTCGGTCACATTTAGTTGAAAACACACACACTAGTGTCTAGATCGATGTTACTTATGTGTTTAACAAAATGACGGAGTAGTTTCGTTTTATTCTTGTGACACTTATGAGCAAATCGACCACATCACTCCAAGACTGTCCGTATTAATTAAATATAATCGAAATATTGATATGATAATGATACCATGATGAAAAATAAAACGCCTAGTGAATTGTATATGATGCGTTATCGAATGATAAAGATTTACGAAATTATTAATGCATAAAAATGAAGAGAATTATGAAAAATATTGAAAATGACCAATATATCGATTGTTGTGTAAGATTTTCCTTGATACACTTGTTGTCCTAACGTCCAAAATATGCAAATGTCTAGTTTATTGTCGTTGGATTTGTTTGGTTTTCAAAATGGCCGACATGAGTACTAAAAATAACGAATTTTTCAATTTGCCTCAAAGTGTAAACTAATTCAAAACATATATATTTAAAAGAAAATATTCGGATTTGTATAAGGAAACGTTTCTAAGTTGTAACGAAATTAAAAATATTATATAAATATTGTTTCTAGATCAATTAAAATGATCGTAAGTAATTGTTTATATTGTGCACATTTGTATTGTATTGTTACATTGTGTATTTAGCAGAAACGAATGCAGTATTTGATGAGATTTTATGCGCTGGAGCGAATTTTTAAATGGAAGGTATATCTACGTGTATTTATTTTATGTTAAATAAATAAAAATTATAGTTAAAAGTATACGTAGATATTTATTATTAAATTATTAGGCTTTTAAGCGATGTGTTCGTTGATCCAGTCGACGAAGGATGAAACCTTAGTGTAGACAGATGGAGCACCTTCCGATCCGCATGGGACCAGACCCCAGGAGACAATACCAACGATCTTGCCGTTACCGGCAAGAGGGCCACCAGAGTCACCGCTGCAGGCGGATTTGTGGTCACCAGGGTTGGCGGTGCACACGTTGGAAACTTCATCCAAAGGTTCAGAGGTGCCCATCAATTCGGTGAAGGCAGCAGCGCAACCTAGTATCAAATTAGTTAACATTAGATTGATTGGAGAGTAAAATTTTGGTAAGTATTTACCTTCATGGTCCAAAACGGGGAGATCAACCTTCTGGAGTTGGTTGGGCATGACTGGGAAGTTGCTGGTGGAGGTGGAGCCCCAGCCAGAGAGAACAACATCACCGGAAGGTTCCTCACCGGAAGCGGGCAGTTCAATAGCCTGGACCAAGTCGTTGTACTCCAAAGAGGAAGCCAAACGGAGCAGAGCAACGTCATTGGGGTTTACACCACTATTGGTAATTTATAATTAATTTTCCTAATTTTTATAACCATTTATAAATAAATCTTACCCATTGTAGTCTGGGTGAACAATACGTTCGACAACAGCGATCTTCTGGGCACCAGAGGTATGGCTAAGGTTGTCGATACCAGCAAGGATTTCCATATCACCATCGAAAGGCAATTCGGTTACGCAATGTCCAGCAGTCAAGATCCAGTTGGGGGCGATGATGGAACCACCGCAGACATGTTGGTACATGCCAAAGATACCCCATTGCAGGGAGATCTGGTAAGGGAACTCACCAGCTTCAGCATCTTCACCACCAGTGATGCGGTTGTGGTGGGAAGGCGCGGCTAAAGTCCCAAAAATCAATTAAACTCAAAAATTGAACTCAAGGACCAAAATGGCGGGTAATCTACACTTACCCAAGGCGCAGGCGACCAAGAGGGATGCGATAATGAATACCTTCATGTTGTCTTTTTTGGAGACTGTGGCTAATACCGTCGATCCTACATATTTATACTTTTCTGTTATCTGATTTTGATTAGATTTATCTTAGAATCAGGAAGAAGCAATCGTTTCTCAAGTGAACCACATCCGTTGATTTTTAGTTTTTGCTCTTATCAAACATATTTATTATTTTATTATTGACTAATCTCCAAGGTAATTTACTGGAAGTTATTTATGGCTTATCAATGAAATTTAAACCTAAATCATAAACATCTGATTTGGTATTTTCAAATATTAAAAAATGTTTATTATTTGGATTCAAACTTTTACAAATTTAATGATTAAGTACGTGTTAACTAAGAATATCATAATATAACATAAATCTTGATGAATATTGAGCATTGCGTTGATTATTGCACTATGTCGTAGGTATAACCTAGAAATACACAACTATACCTAACCTAAAACTGTGATGATGAAATTGTTGACGCAACAGTAAAAATAAATACCTGAAGTGAGTATATGCAACTTGTACAACGTGAACAGACTGTATGTTTGGCCTTGGTGCTGTTGTTTTGATCATTGTTGTTTAACTTTTGTGGTTGTATTGTTATTTGATATTTGGGCAAGTTTTGCATTGTTGGCCTTGTAAGTCTTGTAATAAAAGTGTGAGAAGAGAGCGAAGAAAATCGTCGAGTGGAGGAGCAGCAGAGCGCCAAGGAAACGTGGATAACCGCAGTCAACAAACAACAGTTGAGCAGAGTGAATAAAAACCAAAAAGAATTGTGCCTAAAATTTAAATCAAGTTGTTATTTGTTATTTTGCGGGATAATTACTTGTTTATTTGCTTACTAGTTGAATAGTCGTCAAGTGTTTTTTCCACCAGAGATATTTCTGATAACGCGGTCCCATCGCCGCCACCATGTAGTAAAAATACATGATAACGTGCACCATGTTGTTGATCAAATTCGAGAACGTTCCATGCCCACCTTTTGAATAAAAAATAAAGAAAAATAATTAATTTAATTGACATGTTATGAATGTATGCAACCAATATTGTTTCCATGTTTCTTTCGTGCATATTGCAACATATCACGCTCAAAAGAAAATGATTACTCTACCATATTGCATTCACAGCCAGAGACTTTCTAAACACGTAGCGTAAAGTTTGCGATTCGCTTGCATTCACATTTCGTTTTCGGATTCGCAATAATTCTTTGCTAAGGTTGCGCAGCCCGCACTGCTTCTTAGCTAAGATTAAACTAATGTGCAAGAAGCCTGCGCTGCGCTAATGCGACAATTCCAATGCCGATTAGCATTTTCCAGTGAATGTGTTTGCCACTTTTTGCCTGGATGTCGAGTGCATTAGTTCAATGCAGTCTGCATTCTATTCAATATAAACGAAATCTCTAAACGTATACACATGCATTTGTGTTTGTCTGTGCACTTATGATCAAAGTTTGCACAATTTCGTGCGTTCATGCGTTTTTGCTATATTCGTCAGACATGTTTTCAGTAACGCAGGCCCGGTTGCTAGCGACATCTACACAGAAACATGTCAACTAACAATCTCACTAATAGATATTATTTCACACTGTATAACAATAAAATTTGTACGCACCTTTTTCACGTTTATTATTCTAAAGTGAACACAACTCATTGCAAAATAATAAATTAATGATTAGTCTGGCTCTGTAATAAAATATTAAATCTAGTAACTCATGAAAGGATGAACATAACAAGCGAATGCGCAAATCTTTAGATCTCTATGCGTTTATAACCTTGTGTTATCTTTTTTATACCGTTTATAATTTAGCACTGCAACGCGAGGCAACAAAGAGCTAATATAATTAATTTCTTGCCACACAACACATCAGTTTCACATCATATGTAAATAAAAGTGCGAATCAAATAGCAATAACGCAACTTCATTTTGATTTGAATCATGATTTAAATCAAATCACGATATAATCCTGTTATAAAACCTATAATTAACTGGATTTACTTAGTAATTAACTATTATTTGCGTTTATTCGTTTGTTAGTTTAGTTATCAATGAAAAAAATCACGGAAAGTGAGGATTTTGCGTAAAAACTGTCGGTCTCGAGATTAGTAATCATTTATTAGGTTATCAATGAATTTAATCAAAATTACGTTAGTTTTCAATGTGGAGAACAGGATTTTAAAACACAATGTATAATTTTAATTTTTGGCACTTTAAAAACGCAAAAATAAATTTTGATTGATCTGTTCAGATAGGCGAATTGATAATAAAATATTTTTAAAGATAAGTACATACCGGCTACAAATTTAACCAGAATCCACGTCTCCAACGGTGTTAGACTGTGATGATAAAGATGCAGGAATGATATTTGACTGTCTTTTTTACGCATCACAAAGAATATCGTGTCAGCAAATTCTGTTAACTTGGAGATGTAATAAATCCAACAAAGATTTGCCATCTAAAATAAATCCAACAAAAAACAATATTTAATTTCATTTAATTGTAGTGTCATTTTTTATGGAATAAAAATGTTTGACGACCTTCTGTTTGCATTGTAATAGACTCTAATAGCGACCGGTGATCTATTGCAAATCGCAAATTGCACCGAGCGCCGCGACAAAGTCAACTTGCTCGACCTACGAGCTCAGCTCGAAATAAGTAAAGTGTCCAACTCAAACGGCAAGAAAAGTTGCGAATTGCAGATTGTGGATTGGCTATGCGGGCAAAAACAAGTGCGCCATATTTGCTCCGAATCACTAATGCCACTAATCTTTTTAGGTTAGTGTTTATTCATTTGGTTGGAGTCGGTTGAGAGATTGGGCAAGCGCATTTTCTCGCGTATTTGTCTCGCGACCGTCGTCTATCAAATTGCAAGTTGCAAATGTGCAATCGGCAATTATTTGAATTTGCAAGACATTTATAAACAACACAATATATAATAATATATTGTGGTGTCAGGGGCGGAAAATGTAAAAGCAAGTTTATGTTTTGGAGGTTATGTAGGTTATTACTGATGGTAGTTGCGACAAAAGAGACATATTAATAAAAAAATAACCTTATTGACATCATTTCAGGTCTAGTAGGTATTGGTTATTTTTTGGTCCAATAAGTTAATAAGTAAATTATTTATTCGAAAAATTTCATTTTCCGTCCTGTAGGATAAAGTTTTCAACAAATTTTTAAAATATGAAGTTTTTACTCACTCTGATTGCTTTGTCGCCATTTGAGTAGTCAACAGGTTGACAAACATAACTGTAGTCGAAGAACCATCCACTCATCAAATGCTAAAAGTAAAAACACAAATAATTAAATATTAGCTATGAAATCCATGTTACTGATGTGTAAACCTAACTAAATGGGTAGTCACATAAAACTAACCTCAAAAGTTACTCATGGTTACATATAGGTAGCATTTTACCACCGAATGCTTAACACACAATTTGAATGTTTTTCGATTTTAATGCGCAAATTAAAATTAAATGATTTACCATCGAATCGACCCGCTGGCGCGTAAATAGAGCGCGAATGGAAATGGAAAGGCAAACGACCCAAACAAAGGTTGACACGAAGCGGCGCGCAAGAACGGTGCGCTATTGAAGTTTGCGATTGCAATTTGCAATTTACAATTCGCAATTGAATCGCCATCTCACACATCTTATTTAACATTATCTCACATCTTATTTTATGTTTAAATAAGTATATTATTATTGTTTTACTGAGTCATAACATAAATAACATAAACTGTTTTACATAGTTTTGTGATTATACAAAGAAAGGTCATTCAGATGAGTTGTACGCATGTGCAGTAGGACAAAAATGCGTGAGACAATCGTTTATGGCTAATAAGTGGCCTTAACGTGACAGAAAACGGAATTGAAACGCGAAATGATTAATCTGAGTGCTAATCGCTTGCTGACACGTTTTCAACAAATTGATTCAATGTTATCGAGATGTAATCAACACCAATCAACGATAATGAACATTTTTCAAACACACGTTAGAATTTTATAATAGTGTAACGCTTGATTTCTCAGATAAAAACAATTAAATAAACAATTTATTTCATTCAGTTGACTTAAGAAATAATATTACGTCATTAGAGTAGCATTATACCATAAATCACAATGTATTTTCCATAACATTAATAATAACTTAATCACCACACTTGTAGCAAGTGGCAATGAACGTCCTTGAAGAGAAAGTCCCGGTTAACAACGGCACGCCAAATAAAGCAACATCGAGAAATGAGAAATGAGATTGTAAAAGCAATTACGTTATGCACATTCAGACGTCTAGACAGCTTACAAGAAGGAAAAAGGAAAGAGCAGGTGCCGTTCATGGCCGCCATTTGCAAACTTGCACTTGGCTTACTGAGACGTAATCGCGTGCGCAGTCAGCTAAACGCGCCGCCAACTCGACGAGTGAATGAATGTGCGGAAGAAACGGTACTCGCTTTAAAGCCCGCCGGCGATTCGATATTCTATTGCAATATTCACGGCTGCAAACACATCCAACCATTTTGTTTTATGTTTTACGTTTTGCGTTATGCAAATACTAATCAAACCGTGCAACGTAACTTGTTACATGAATTCATGCACCATTTTGAATGACTCAATGCTAGTAGTGCAGTAGATCATAGAGTACACATTTATGTAATGTAACTTATGCATTAATTAACGTTTCAAAGTCACCAGCATTGATATTGACCAAGAAACAACACAAGTATATAATGTATATTGATGTATGTAGATTTGGTTGCATATACTTAATTTGACTAACCTCGTACAACATGTAAAGGCTAAGCATCACTTGACCACCATTGTAGAGGATAAGCACTTCTCTCAATTTGAATGGTTTGCGGTTTTCCATCAATCGAGGTCCCAAAAATATTATGACGTAGAGATAAGCAAGCACCATCAAGATGGTGGGCAGCGGACTCATCATGAACGGCCATTCTGACGTTCGTGGATCTAAAAAACAACAAATTATATAACCGCATGAAAACAATAGCAGTAACAAATAACAAGATAACACAAAAACAAAATGGAAGTTATTGGAGCTTATTAAAACAAAAAGTGGCGATACTAAATAAACAAGCGTGCTAACAACAATACGAATATTGAATATTAGTGTTTCAGTTTACGAAAAAAAAAATGGCGCTGCGGTGACGAGTGCCTTGCAATTATGCGAAATGAAAGTGAAGTGTGCGGTCTTACAAGAGTGATTATTGCAATGCATTGCAGTTTATTGCAGTGACAGCTTGATAAAACACTAAACACTAAACATGACCTCACCAACAAAATACAACCGAGTGTAAAAAATGCAAAAACCCAGGTTACGGATACTGGTTTATCAAATTATTACAATTCGTACATCGCAGAAACACCAATCTCTATTATTTATCTTTTTTTATTAGTTTTTATATTAATTGTCTCAATCTACAAATAGTTGACTAGGTAGTAAAATACTGAATAATTCTTTTTTTGTTATGTATGACGTGATCACATTTTTTTGTTGGTTAAATTTTGGGTTGACCTCTAAATGAGTCTTGTAGTAAATCTGTAACGACGGTAATAACGCGACGCTTGAATGATGATGATTGTTAATAGTTGTCTGTTGTCTGCTTTTTTGTGTTTTGTTGGATAAATTAATAAATTTTCCTACCGCTGATTCGATTTAAAATGATGCCGTAAGTGTCCATCGCCATTTTGACCAAGTCTGCTACTTCCTAGAACAAAATAATCCACCATTAATATAATTAACCGGAATTGAAATGTATGAATGCGTATGCGCATGCGCACTAGTTTTAAATATATAGTATTATGACTATTAGAATAGAATGCGTTGTTTGATTGATGATTAAATGTAAAGTAAAATATACGAAATGCGCAATAATTAATATTGCACACGCATTTAGCATTTTGTAATTTCTTAAAAGCGGCGAAATGCATCCATCTCTTTCGTCATTTCGAAATTTATTTATCGAGATTTTGCAAGGCGCATAGCTGCATAGCTGCACATATTTTCGCAAACAACCAACGCAAGGCGTAATGAATCTAATGGTCAACGAGCGTAAATACTTAAATACGAATTTATAACCGCAAATATTTTGGTGCTAACAGTTTAACAATCATATATAACCTCAAATCTTAACCTCAAACATCTCATTGTCATTTAAATTACATTATTACCTTTATACCTATAATTGTTATGTGAGTTAATTAACTTAATATATTGTTTCTATTCGAATGATTTTTGATTTCTGTTTTTCTTTTATTGTGTGATTAAAATTAGTTTCTTTTATTTATATGCGTTGCGCTTGTTGATTTGTTACAAAATAATATATATTACTGATTTCTTCAGGAATTGAAACTTTAAAATTTAAAAATCAACGCAAAACAACATTTCCTATAATTAAAATCGTTAAATAATTGATAGTAAATACTACTTACAGTTGTATTGTTCACGGTAACATTCAAATCATTGAATATAACATCCATTTTGATTGATAAAAACTTTTCACAATAGTAATCAAGCGCGTTGACGAGTTCCATTGTTAATTTTAAAGCGTATAATTAAATTTAATTGTTATAAATAAATCATCACTTTAATTAGTTTTTAATCGTTGTAATGTTTTTCCAAATCAATAAATAAACATTTTACTTTAGTAAAGTTTGCGATGAATTGATTGGACGCGTCGCACGTGAACGAATCAAGTATAACTAAATTATAAAATTGGCGGCGTGAACTAGTAAAGTTGTAAACTGACAAAAGTTTTGTAGCCAAGAGAAGTAGCGATACGTCCCCGTGGTCCCCGTGCCCCGCATTCGCTACGATTAGACGTGGTGGCTGCGCAAACATTAGGTTATCTTGTCCGGCTTAAGCACGACCAAACCACCACCCAGTCAATCGGCAACCGACTTCTTCGTTGACCGCCTCACACACAACACATACAAAGCATTCACTTGTCATATTGCACATGAGACGCCATATTGATTCCATTGGTGACCGCATGCGGCCAAGTTGAATCAACTTAAGTCATGATTTCGACTCAGGTAGGGTAAAGTCAAGCGGTTGTAATTCGAGTTCAATCGTGGCGGCTACCAGTGGTGACCGCTGATGGTATGGTGGTAACAGTGTCCAAGAGTATAGAATATTGGTGGTGGTAGCGTGAGCCTGAAGGTTGGCTTGCTCGCAGAGTTGAAACACAAGTCGTACTCGCCGATTTTATTCTTATTTTGCAATAACATGTTTTTCTTATTAGTGGACGCGTATATAAACATTTTTATTCCATCTGGTATTAAGTTTAGGTTAGGTTTAAGTATCAGCCATGTTGTTTTTATAACCAAATTAACATTATATCATTTTTACGTCATGTTAAAAACAATTTTACTTTGATTGGGTTTTAAATAAAGTGAAATAAACATTTAGTAATCTGTGACAAATCGATGTAACTCTTAATTTTAATTTTAAGCACTTCTTGCACTCTTGAGACGTGTGTCAATGTTAAAATTTGTTTCACTTTCATGTCTCGATGATTTCGACATTGAAATGAAAAGCTGCGATGACGATGCGATTTTGACAATGTCACGCATTGATGCGTACGCCAAAAATCTACGATTATTGTGCAATTGAGAAAAGTGTGCGTAATAGGTGAACAATTTTGACACAGTTTCAAAGCTACTTGAATTCCTATAGAAATTCTTATTTCAGTTGCACTGTGACATAGGCAACCAAACATACAACTTGGACATAGTGATACACCCGTTTGCAATGACCTCAATTCGCTTTCAATTCAATTTGCGCTTGATTTTACGATTTGCCGATTTGCTATGGTGTTTCAATGTTCTCTTATATTGTAAACTCTATAATGCACTCAAGTTCTCAGATTAGCCAATAGTTGTATTGCATTAAATGCTGAACTATGCCACCGAATATACACGACTAGTTCAGTTGATGCGCGCTGAACAAAGCAAACAATTCGAGTGGTGTGGATGTTGTTGAGTGGAATGAATAAAGTCAACTTGCACTTTTCGTGCCCCCGACCAACATACCACGTTGCGACGAAGGTTTAAAAGTCGAGAACGCATTTACGCAAAGAACATTTGTGCAAGAACTGGCCAAAGACAAACATGCGCATGTTTCACTTCAACTTTATCTTCTCTTTTCATTTTCATTCGTATTTCTTGAAACATTAGCGTTGACGAGTATTAAAATTGAACTTTTAAGTTTTAACGAGGAACATTTCTCAAACCCTCTTAAAATCAGTGTAATAATAAAGTTTTACGAGTTTTACGAGTAAAAGCCGTAACTGTCGCAATTGTTGCAAAACGGAACGCTCCGTCACCAATTAGTGTCATCTACGCATGTGCTCTATGCGAGGTTGTTGTTGGTAAAGTGCATTTGCGTTTTGCACAATTCCACAATCGTCTTCACCTGCGCCTTCCTAAATATAAAATCGTTAAATCTCAAATAAAACGCTGTCTTTCATCATCGGCGTGCAAACACGCTCCTCGTGCGGCCGCCATTTTAATTCGATTCCATGCAATTTTCTTCTAACGTGTAAATTGATCATAATACGAAATACAATGAAATGAATAATGGGTGATGAGAGTAAAACTATTCTGTGGTATGTTTCATGTGGCATCCATTGTAGATTTTACTTTTATCTCGGTAGATCGTAAATGCACAAAATGCAAACGCGTGCTGCTGTTGTGCAGTGTGTTTGCAGTTGATATTGAGGACAACGCGATCCCAAAAGCGCCGAAGTGCATCTAGGCTCGTGGCCTGCTAACACACACCTGCACGCGACCGGCAATGGCGGCAGTATGCGCGCGCAATTGGGCAATACACGCAGAATTCAACGCTTTGCAAGAATCTTGACATTAACGCACATGATAAACCTAACAAAACCTCAAATGTGCATTAAATTGCATGTAATCATGCCAAAAAGAACGTTTAATTCGCAATTATTCAAACATTGTGAGGTTAGAACTTCAAAACTATTAAAAAAAAACTATTATTAACTTTAAATGTTAATTTACCTAAGTGTTTTTTGTTATTACACATTTTCCACGAGGTAGAAATGTTAATGATCTCAAAATTATCAACATTCTCAAAAATATGCACGCGCTTAATTAAGGCACAATGGTCGCGTTTATTTAAAACTCATCACTGGATAATTGAATGCGCACAATCAAAAATAATGCTTTGTCATTTGCGCATACTCAATGCCAAGTTTACCACTTAAAAGTCATCATTAGCTGTAAATCAAAATCGTTTGTTATTAAAACAATACAGAATTAATTTTGCGCGTTCACAAAAATCAAAAATATCAGATACTCGGATGTTACGAAGAAGCATATCGAGTGGTTAGTCTTATATTGAGATTCAAAGTAAATACATCACAAAAAAGTACAGGGAAAGTAAAAATTAAGTTTGTTCAAAAGGTGAGTAGGAACATTTTGATTGATTGTTGGAAATTGTGTCAATTCATAACTTGTGCAGCTAGTAATAAATTTCTTGTACATTTTGCAAGTTGTTTGGTTGCTTGTATGCCGTAATATTAAGCAGTAGAAGTAGAATTTGTCGAACGCGGCAAAAATCGCATAATACACGTGAAATCACCCATTTTGGTGGACTGGCTATGTCGCGACATGCAGTACGATACTTTTACCTCTCTCACCACCTATGCCTTTACTTGCTATGCATGCTTTTCTGTTAAGAGGTTTTAGCTAAGCCAGAAGACGCTTACCGCTTTTCAAGTCACTTCGAACCGAGCGTGCGCGCTGCGCGAACACGAATCGCGAAAACCAGAAAACGAAAAATCACTATCACCTTATTAATTATTACTTAGATTAATAAAATAAAATGGTATAATATTCACACACATCATAAATAAAATTCGTTAAAGGGTTGTAAAAGTCCTCTGGAGTGAAAGTTTAGTTAAGTGACTTTTATTTTTGGGATTTTGTGTTTTTTCTAACAAGATTAACACAACAAGTGGTAAGACATCATTTTTTAACTATTTACTATTTAATTATTGCTGAAGTGAGATGTAATTTATTCAATTATTAATTAACTTTCATTACTTTCATAATACTCATCGATTTATGCCGTGAAATGTCGCACAAATGAATTATTTTAACATAATAAATAATTATTGCATAATTTAAACTTTAAGCATAAAAATAAGTAAACAGGATGTCATGTAGGTATGTAAATGTTTAGTTTCTGTTGGAAATTACGAAGGAAAATATGATTTTCTAAATAAGTATGCAGAGTTGCATAAATATAAAATTTAAAAACCCATCTACAGTGAAATTTGTACTTCATTAAACATTTACTTTGCTATCTAGACAGTGAATTTAAGTTTTCTTAAAATTTAGTTAAAATTAAATATTTTACGTTAGTGTTGACAGAGAAAAAATATTGATATGTTTGTGATATCATTGCGTATTTTCGCCGCATGGACGTAATCGTAACACACTCGCGTAATTTCATCGCAATTGCGTGCCGCATGCCGCGCGTTATGATGTTGTGATACAATACACACATACATACAATCAAAAAACACTTTTACGCTTTTACTACGAAAACCTGTGTGTGTGCATAGTGCAAGTGCGGCTGCTAGTCGACAAGCCAGTCAGGCGCAGTTAGTTCAAGTGGAAATTCGCAATCGCAATGATTCCACTTTCACTCGGATCGGTTTTTTTCTTTCTTCTCGCAGCGTATACGCCGATGAGATGCCAAACTACTACTACCGACTAGCGACTAGCCTTTGCTTGTATGCGTACATGTCTTTTCTATTACATGTATTAATAAATGTTACGTTTCGGCTTTGAACTCCTTATCTAGAGAATAAGAGAAGCACAGCAGCAGGAAATATTCATAATACTACAATAACACAAGACCAGAAATGTAGAGAGCATTTATAGAAAGACTGAATTAAAAACTAAAATAAAAGAAGAAAGTGTTATTTTTGTTTGTTTTTAGTCAACGAATGTGGAAATAATGATATATAAGTACTAAAACAGTTAAACTGCTGACAAATGTCAACTGTCACCTAACCTAATCTCTTGTTTACGTGCATAACACTAAAAAATTTCAAACAACGCTTTGTGGATTATTGCGGAAATGAAAATTTTACATTTTGAGGTTAGTTCAATGTCAAAGGTTGCATTATTCATTTTACTATTACAAAAAACATTTCATTACACTACTTTTTTACACAATAAAACTAAATGGTTGGCTTATTTACGCTTGCAATTGAATGATGCAAGCAAGTGGGTTAGAAGGTGAAAGAAATGTTCTCTCGCCGTGATTGCGCAATGCGCGCGCGCTGCTTTTACTCGCCAATTTTCAATTTCGCTCTTTTCTTCCTTTATGCTTCAGTTCAGTTAGGTTTCCACGCAGAAACAGGTTTAACTCATGTATCATGACTTAAGTCATCAGTTAAGTCTAACTTTTATGCTAAGTGCTACACGCATGCGTACTAAATGAAAATCGCTAAAAAGAAAATTGTAGATACAAGTTATCAAGTAGTAGTCACTTAGTCAATCACAATGAATCACTTAAGTATAGTCTTAAGTTGATGCTACTTCATCATGTCTTCCATTCAAACATTCGAATTAAATTTCTACAAACATGCATTGTTCTTGATTAATACATACTTTTCCGGTAATACTTGAACATATTGTATCTAATTTGAAACTACTTCATGCTTAACACCTTCAGCAGTTGAATAAGTAGCAGAAAATTAATGATGCACTGGAGTGCAGTGGATACGAAAGGAAGTCTCTTGATTCAAGACGAAATAAATTTTCTTTTTGAACCAAACACACAATTAGTATTCAATGAATGAGTACAATTAATTATCACAGCGTAGGTAATCTAATCGAATTACTGCATTGTTTGTCGATTTGTTGATTATAACACAAAATCAGTGTGCGTTTTACGTTCCGGTGCGCTACCAATCACAATTCGCATTTCTTGCGAATCCGATTCTAACCTTATTTAATTACGTCAACTTTATTCATTAAAAGACCCTTTTGCGGAAAGTGAAAGTCATTGCAATCTTTTGTAAGGTTTTGTGGCTTGGTTATGTTGTGTCTACGTTCTGCAATAATTCATAACTGAATAATCTATTCGTTAGACGGTTAGACATTCTTAAATGGCACAATATGTTTCAATAGGTAATAACTATTAGCTACTAACGATAATAAAGGCGCCGTGGCACCGATAATGATGTTCAAATGTATTTTCTTGTTTTGACATTGACATATTTTCAAAATTCCATAAAATATTTTTGTAAAAATGAAAACAATTGAAGAAATAATTACATTTTTAAAATTTTTATACAAATATTACAAAAAGTGCATAAAATATGCATTTTTATTACTGCAAATGACAACTCTCACATAAACTAACCTCAAAACATAAAGTTTTGCATTATAAGTTTAAATTACTGATTTATGGCATTTTTTCCTTATTTACATCCACAAGGCATAATGAAACATATATATTATAGAAATACTTATTATAATAATTTTAATATTTTACTTACGCTTAAAGTAAAGTTGTCAACTGTTCGTACATGCTCGACAATATCAAGCATCAACCCAACGTTAGTTTTATTCATTTTGTTTATTTTTATTCTAATTTATCACTTTTATCACTTTTAACTAATTTAAACTATAACATCCGAACACTTTAAAATACAATAAATAAACTATCGGCGTGTTAACCTTCCGATCGAAAATCACCGAACATAATAAACAAATTCTGCCGGTGCGCAGTAGTTAAATTTGATTCTATCAGGAGCAAGGAGTAAATGGTATCACAATTAAAGTGCGGAGATGAAGCATACATAATTTGCAACGTTAAACAGCAAGCACTCTACGTTCAACGTCCAATAGCGTTGCTTGATGATTTTTTGCCCCAGACAATAATTACCTACCGCGTTCCATCGAAAAATTAAAATATGCAAAATGCAATAAACCGTCATCTGTTGTCAACACAAAGTCAACCACCGGCTAGTTTTTCCTCATACACAATTCGCACGTCTGCGACAATTAATATCACCTATTATATTATTGCTACTTTGATGTTTGTCGACGTATGATGCTCGAGCTCACTGCGTTAAATACTTAATTATTTCGAGTGAAATTTATGATTGCGCTTTAATGAATAGTTTTGGACCAGTCATTTAATTACTTCCTAATTATTACCTACTAAAATGCACGTTTTATTTCTTCGTACAAATATTTTATAGCACGCATTTATATATTTTTTTGTTTATTTTAATTAGGTGCGTTATTTCCTCGACAAGATGGCGTCCAATGCAACGAAGAATGCTATGTCACTCTTGGACTACTACAATTTTGTCTTCACTGATCTATCCGGTACGTAAATTTAAATTTAATTCCTGTCTTGATTAAAATATTGTTTAGTTAATAGCCGAAACGTGCAGAGTATTGAATAACATTGACATTGAAAGTATTGCAAACTGGTTTAAAATGTTTTTTTGTGCTGTACTCATAAGTTACAATTCTATTACGACTAACAAGTTGAATTCTTTGCGTACATTGCAAAATCATGTTGTTGATGAATAGTTCTGCACGTCATAGAAATTTGTGCGTCAAAGTATTATAATTAAAGCTCAAAATTATTACAAATGATGTTAAATTAACCGCGTGAACAATCAGTCAATCAATTTTTATGTTTTTTTTTTAGACAGGAGAACAAATCACTGGTTCCTGATCAGTTCCCCGCTTCCCGGTTTAACTTTGATTTCTCTTTATTTGTTCTTTGTTAATTCATGGGGCCCACGATTCATGAAGAACCGCAAACCCTTCGAGTTGAAGCACACGCTCATAGTTTACAATCTTTTTCAAGTGTTAGTCAGCAGCTACTTGTTTTATTTGGTGCGTATTATTACCAAGTATTTAGAACCTGTTTTTGTTTATATCTGAAAGTTTTATATTTTTGTAATTTTTTTTTTATTTGAAGGGTTTAACGAAAGCATGGCTCACAAAATATAGTTGGAAGTGTGAGCCGGTTGACTTTTCGGAGACTGAAGAAGCCCTTGAAGTTGCAACAGCCGTATATGTTTACTTTTTAGCCAAACTGACCGAATTATTGGATACAGTGTTCTTTGTTTTGCGTAAGAAGGACAGACAGGTGACATTTTTGCATTTGTATCATCATACTGTTATGCCCATGATCAGTTGGGGTGCTACCAAATATTTCCCTGGAGGACACGGAACTTTTATTGGTTTTATCAACTCTTTTGTACATATTATTATGTACACTTATTATTTGCTAGCGGCGTTAGGTCCGCATCTACAGAAATATCTGTGGTGGAAGAAGTACATTACTACTTTGCAACTTGTAAGTAAATTAATCAACTTACGCCATCTATTTTCATCTGTTTAAGATGCTAAAATATTGTTTCTTGTGTTTATTTAGTTGCAGTTTTGTATTGCGTTCATTCACTCTATGCAACTTCTCTTCTACGACTGCGGCTATCCACGTTGGTCGACATGTTTCACGATGCCGAACGCCATCTTCTTCTATTACCTCTTCTATGATTTTTATAACAAAGCCTACTCTGCTGAAGATAAACAACGAGCTCTAGAAAGAAAGAACGGATATGCCAATGGTGATCAACCGAAAGAGAATGGATTCGCTGCGATGGGTAACGGACGCGAAGGGGATAAAAAAAGACAATAAATATACCACAGACACGTTATACGCTATTAAAATGGCGTCTTCACATTCGATACTATGAGTATTTATTATTTAAGCAAATGTTTGAATATTGTTACACGATCACTAGTTACCAATAATTATAATTCCGAGAATTTTGCAATTTAATGATAAGTTTAATTGTTTACATATAAGTTTAGCGTTAGTAAACACAGTCGGTACAGAAATACACTTAATTTGCTCAGTTATTACTTAAAGTAAATGTAATTAAATACTAATTGAAATTAAACTCTAAAAACATTCATACCCGTGGAAAATATTGACAAGTGTATTAAATCTTAGCTAAAAAAGTAAATTCATATAATTATGCAATTTGCATCGTTTGTTATGACTTATGAGTGTAATTATATATAAAATGACTGTCAATAAACAGGAACAATGATTAGTAACAATGAATTTCACTGACACGTGCGTAAATTTACGTTCAGAATAAACAAATCGATTAATTTTAGTCAGGAAAACAATTAATTTGCGATCACAGTCAATAATTATATTTAGGTGTACACTTGGTTGCATATATCAAACGCACGAATCCTCCAAAATTAAGTTCGAACTTTATCTTTGGTTTTCACTCACTTTCCATACAACGATTTTGTATAAGCAAGAAATAATAAAATTAAATGTTAATATTACTTACCTTGAAGTTAATTAAATTGTATTTTATTAGTTTGTGAAATCAGAAACAAGAACTGATTTCGTATGGTGCTAGAAATTGCAAAATCATCTTATCACCATCAGAAAACAGGTCTCAAAGTCTGATATTAAACATTTGCGATAAAATAAAACTCGAAATGATGAACATTCGATGAATTTTCACTTAAAACTGTCCGTTTCTACACTATGCACACTGTTTTTATTCCTGTTTCAGTCACAGGACACTAAACAAGCACAAAATCTTAGATTTAGTTACAGATACCTTAAACTTTACTATGTAAGAAAACTCTTTCCTTTGTTTAAGGTTTCTAACTGTAATTTTTATACAGTTTACTTTAATTTTTGTATTAATTTTTATTTTTAAAGGACTTATATTGACAAAATAAGTGTTTATGTAATAAATTGTGATTTTAAGTACTATGACGAGCGATATTCAATTCGTAAATGAAATGAGACCGACCAAGAGACGAAACGGAGCCCAAGTTTAGCCCCGCATGACGGTGTACCCATCTAAAGTTTCATCCACGTCCTTTCCAATCCCTGGCCGCGTAGTTCGCAGCCTTTTCTTCGCTGGTTTTTGTTGTTTATTTTCTATTTTTCTTTTTATTGCTCTCATTACTATTATCTTGTGCAGTGTCTTTGTTTGTCCACATACAAGCAAGAAGTGAATGCAAGTGCGATGCAAACTAGTGCAGCTTGTTTTCCCATACGTGCAAGGTGTTGGATTACGTATCGAATGTTGTGCGACTTGCGGTCATCCAAGTAGACGTCGGCGGATTAAATGTTCAACGCATCGAGTGTTTGCGTTTTTGCGGCATGATTTCTTTAAAATTAATCGCTACAATCAATAATACTGTTTGCACAGTGCAAATATTATATTTGCTTGAATATGTTTACTTTTATAATGAGAAGAAAACGTGTTTGGATGCTTTGATTTCAAATGTTGTTGTTCGATGCGCACAGAAAGTTGCCTAGGGTAAAAGTAAAAATGTAATATTTTGTATTAAGTGTATATGTTGTTGCATACGTAGAAAGCTCAAAAGATTAAATATTCAGACAAACACTTTTTTTTACAAAATAACTTTTCCCACATTTCAAAACTAACAAACCTCAATTTTTCTACGACAATAAATTAAATAAAGTTTGTTAAATCATCGGAAACCAAGTTCAAGTTCAAGTGTGCAAGTTAAACAATTTATTTTATCTCTACAAACAAGCATTTCCTTTGTAAATTCCATTTGTTATTTATTGATGTATTGATGTATAATTTTGAAACTTTTAAATTTAAATAATAAATTACTGAATTATTCAAAATATTTAAAAGAAACAAAAACTGAAGCGTTGGTTTAACAATTTGTACTTGTAACTAGTCACGTAAAAAACTGACGGTCTTGACGGTTGATGGTTGACGATTGTCGTTTATCAAGTTGACGAGCATACAGGTCGGAGTAAATAACAAATGAAGTTGATTTGTTTGCAGAAGGCGACGTCAATTCGAATTTTTTTGCAAATAAAACAAATAGAAAACCTTTGAACACCCGATGACGATAAACATCGCAACAAAAAAATGTTGAAAAAACATTTTAAAAAAACTTTAAAGAAATAAATCAATATTAATACGACTCAAAAGTTTTTGTTCAAATATTTTCATCAATTAATACATTTAATTGTTATAAATCATTTGTTTAATATTAAATACATGACATACGTATTGACTTTTTTCAAGAAAAAAACTTGTTTCTGTTTGTAAATAAAAAGAAATTTTGAATGTTACGTTGTGGTGGTCAAAGAAGTAAATAATCAATAACCATTCACCCAAAAATGGAAGGTCTTTAAACGGCAAAAAATAAATCTAAACCCATCAAACGCAAAACACATTTCCAAATCAAACATAACACGACTCGGCAAGCCGTGATCGCGGTTAGATGACGATGTCTTTGCAAACGTGTTCGGACCGTTTGATCGCCCGATGAATTTATAATCGCTGGCGTTTGGCAAGCGTCACCAAGCGCGTGGCGATTCGATATTCAAAGCGCACGCTGTGCTTCTTCAATTCGGTAATTCGTCAATGCGCAAATGCGCTAATTCACAATCGTCGACGAGTGAAAGTAACCCCGCACATAACAACGCAATGCATTGGGAAAATCGAAAATCTAATTCGGGCGCCATTTTGTAGTTCACTTTCGGTCTTTGCAGTCGACGAAACAAAAACATCAAAGAGTTCAATCCGTAAATTAAATTAAAAATTTAATTTAATTTACAATATAATACAAAGTGAGTGTAGCTAATACGAGAGTAAAACTAGTGCGTGAAATTACTAATTACAACATTTTGGTACTGAAAACCGCAGCAATCGCTTCGTGCAATATCTGCAAGTATTGCAGCGTGTATTGCATGGATTTTTTCATTCTTTTGCCAAATAAACTGATTCAGGTGAGCTTGGCTAAGTTACTCGTCGCCATATTTGATGCATTGTACTTACCCAATCATTACATTACTCTAACACGTGTAAATTAACAAAAATGTGCAATATTGATGGTTTTTTTACGTAATTACACTAATTTTAGATGCTTTCCATGATTTTTATCAAATTGATGTTATAAACGCAATACGAATAATTAAAAAAACAACAATTTACCACAATAAACAGATCATTTTAGCATTATCTTGCAAAATTAAGTTTTAGCAGTTAAATAAAATATTATATACAATGTGTTAACATTATTCAATATTATAGGCAACATAAATTTTAATGTATATTTAGTTGCCTATAATAAATTTAACCAGCGCCGTATAGTATGCACGTGTATTCTTTGCGAACGTTGTGTTTATTGAGTGCCGATGACGAAATAGACGCCAACAGGTTTTTGGAAACGTGCTGTATGAGTTTGGAAGCCGCTTCGCGTCCGGCGACGCCGCACGAACCCAAGAGCCGAACACGATGAGCTCATATAATAAGCCCGGCGACGTACAGTCGTGTGCTACTCGCGTATTCGCGCTCCGGTGCTCTCCCGCCTTGCCGTCGACTCGCATCCCGGTGCACACAACCTTCGTGAGTATCCCGTGTAACCGGTGCTGTGCGTCGTGCGGAGAGAAGCACAAAAAACAATTACAAATAAGCGGTGCGCGTAGCAGCGGTGGGTGTGTGGAAATAAATTGGATTTTCGTATTTCGACGAGACGCGAAGACGGTTTGTGCGAATCGATTTTCGCCCAAATATTCGCGCGCGCCGAGTGTGCACAGAGAAGTGTCGTGTGCGAGGAGGGATGTGTTTTTGGCGCCCGCGACTAAATATTTAAATATTTATTGCCTGGTGAGAATAATATACATAATAAAACAATTTTTTTTATAACAAAATAAACAGAAGACAATCGGTTGTGGTCTTTCGCCGGACATCGATTTCTGATTTAACCTTAAAATCACACCTGCCATACGAGTATACTGCCTCTGTGTATTCGTAAAAACATTGAAAACCAATTCGCGAACGTAGCATTCGATTTTAAAACCACTTTTAACATAGTAAAAGTAAATTAAATCAGTTGTGCTGTGATTTAATATACAACGTGCTGAGCTAGTTTGTGCCCACGTTATCATTTTCCGCCGTTGGAGAATCAAATATTGTGCAAGTTGCAATTAGTTGCTCTAGTCTCGACGCTAATCAACCACATAAAACGTAAGTCGCTATTTGTTGCTTCGTTGTTCTAACTGGGTGAATATTTTATATCGACGGCTTGTGCCACTTGTGGATGTGGAAACATGCGCCGAAGTAAAGTTGAAATTTAATTAGACGTATTACGTGCGTTTAGGCGCACGAACCTCCGTTCGAATTATTCAAATGTTAATTCGTTAAGTGCACCGTTGTCTGGCGTCTCATTGGGACGAATTAAAAATCCAGCCATGCTTGCGATTTTAATCAGGTTAGTTGCCAATTTGTGGTTATGGAGTTGTTGATTTGGTGTTGCTATAGCAACCGTTGTCATGGGAATAGCAGCGATGCACAGGTTGACTCTTGCAAGATATTAGCGTTTTTATTAGATTGACTCGACATAAATTAAAGATGTCTGTCCGGTGGGCCGCGTGGGCTTGGGATGCGACCCACTATCGGCTCCGGCCCGGCTGCGGCCCAGCTAAACGGAACGCCAGCGCGAACGAAAACGGGATTATGTAATGTAACGTTCCGGATGCATCTACACACACAGACATACAGTGTGTTCACCCAAAAATCTAATGAAATCTAGAAAAAAAACCTTAATCAATTTTCACCTACCATTTTCGGGCACATGTGAATCATATCAGCAACGAAATGCAAATAGTATTTTATCAGATAAGTTGTTTAAATATTTACCATTATGTGGCTGTTTTTTAAGCAACATTTTGTCAAATTATATAAATGTTTAGTTATAAATATTTTATGAACACACTGTATGCGTTGTCTATTAATTTGAAGGCCCGGCAAAGTGCACTCACTCGCGCATTCGCTTCCCTACTTGATATGTGTACGTATGTGAATGTTCTTCAATCTTCAGGTTTGTTTCTAGATTTTTTTTGTGGCTACGCAAGTTTTTTATCTTTGTCCTACTCATATGTTCTATTTCCTTTTATTGTGTTACTTGCGTATTCCCCCCTACTTGTTTACTGGTTGCTATAGCAACGTCTTCAATACCATGGCAACCGGTATCTACACAGCATGGGAACACATGTTGCATTGTTACAAAAAACATACGTGAATCAGTAGTTGTTGAAGTAAGTAAGTTGTGATAAAAATTTGACAAGTTGATAGTATGTAATAAATTTCGTAACGTTTTAACTTATTCTTTTTGACGTACTTCCAAATCAATAAAGTAGGTACAACGTGCTGGCACGAGCATATTAGCTGTTTGACTTGGTTTGTTTATTATAACGTACTCGTAAAATGAGTATGCATGAAGTGCAAAAATTCGTCTAGAAAAAATATTTTTTGCTTTATTATTTGCTCGTTGTACTCACAATTGTACACACGATTAAAATTGTCAAGATATTTTATGCAAAACATGAAAAAATCTAGTTTTTGAGGTAGAATTGTTTATAATGTTAGTAGACTGTTAGTGTTTGGAATATTAAATAATTTCCTTGAAATAATAATAAAAAAGTACAGAAATCATATTATTTTAGTTGTGATATACCCGTGAAATGTAAATAGGAAATTCCTTTACTACATAAAAATAAAAATGTTTCATATATTTTATTTCTTCAATTATATCTTGGCATTTAGATTTTTGTCGCCTTTGTTTCCGCTAAAAACTAGAGGAAAACATAAAAGTTCAGACCGCATTCATAGCAATTCTATTACTCCTAATGTTTTTTCTTTGTCTTCTAGTCGGAAATTTATTATTCTTTCTTTATTTCTGATTTTTCATAAGCTTAGGCAAGAAAAATGCGTGGAAAAACCATCTAAGTCGATAATTTATTCGTCGGCGCTCGTTAGAGCGTCTAATGCGTTTCCTTTGTTTCTTTTGAGCTTTCGTTTGCGTTTTCAGCTTGTGTTACTCCTACACCTGAAAATGCGCGCCCATTGTGTGGTCTTGCCGGTGGGGTGTGAATGTCGCGTTAGCGTGCCGACGTTGTGCGACACGCTTCGCGAAAAAATCGATAATATTTCGCTCCACAAACCGACCAAACCGGCAATCCAGGTTGCATTTTATTTCCTTTCCTTGATTGCTTGATTTTTAATGAGATTTGTGTATGTGTATCTTGTTGTTGTTGATGTTAAGAAACAAGGTCGACATTTTTCCCAGCCAATGTCAACCGAAGTAGGTGCATGCACCGAGTGCAAATTGCAGCAACCAAAGTAAAAAATTAATTTTAGCACCAAACGCGGATGTCTACAGCATCATGCATGCATATGATCAACCTGATTTCCATCTGAATCTTCCTCAATGCGTGCCACTTGCAATTCTGTTGTCTGTGCACGCCGCGTAAGGAAATTGTGGTGTTAAAACATGAAATTAGCTATTAAGCATGCCATTACAGGCTTATCCAGCTATTAAAATACTGCGATAAAATCTCCAACGCATCTGAATTTATCCTAGACAAATTTGAAAAATAATATTTTATTGCTAAAAAAATATTGGAGTTACTTTGATATACCGATCAATTAATTTTATAACATTTATGGCATTATTACAGATGCATGAACAGTTTAGTCACACGCGATGGGAAATTGCCGATATTCGCTTTTGTTTATTTTGAGCATATTCTGCAATTAAATAGAAATTTAATGCGATGCAAAAAGGTGCATCTGTTTAATTTTATTCAAGCATCGAATAAATTATATGCCTGGAAACATAAATAAAATAAAACGAGACTTGCTATAGGTGCATAAATTTTAAAATATATGGAGCAATATTAGATGTAAATAAATCATAGAATATTAAATTCAGTAAGTCAGGTGCAGGCATAGATATAATTAATTATGGCGTTCCTGCTGTTTGATTCTGATTCAATTAGTTGATATAATGCTAATAGGAAAACAATTTAGCGAAAAACTGAATATATACAATGTGTTCGCAGTGCTAAAATAATAAAATAAACCATTTTATTGTTTCAGATTTTTAACTATAACATAATGTATCATTTAGTTAGACGTAAGATTGACGTAATTTAAATTAAGATGCGTAGGATTACAGTTAGTTATTTCTGGGCTCATAAATTTCGACCCAAGCAAAAATATTTCGGTCTAATTCTTTCACATTTGGAAAACTGTGCTTTTCCGTTAAATTTTATTGTTTTGCGTCTTGGTTGCCATTAAATAAGCTGAATTTTAATGAGTTGTTAATGCAAAAATGCCAATTAAAGATGCATTAACGCAAAAGATTAAAATTATCTAGGGAAATGTGTGCAATTAAGCCCGACAGGATAACGCAATCAAACTACATCAGTAACATCAGCCACAAAAGGAAATAATTTGTCAATCACTCCATAATAATTTCAAATCAAACTCGAAAACTTTAACATGACTTAAGTAGACTAAGTAATTTCTCATTAATTTCCTCAAAAATATTGAATTTTTATTCAACAGCAGGTTTGATTAATTAAGAAATGATTGCAACTCATCGCGGATGTTTTGTTCGCCTACTTTTCTCTTTGCACTGGCGAAATCAACTTTTCTACATGATTTATAATAACCTATTGGAGCATGACGCTAGCAAATACTCACGTCGTCATCTGATCTTCAATAAATTGCTCTAAGAACTACAAGATTCAATTAAAGTCGTTTCCTTGTTTGGAGTTTTATTATTTTCCTCTTTAAGTAGTTATTACTTATATCTAAGTCGATAAGTAATAAGTTTCCATCAATGGCGGCCATGTAGCGATGACAACGCATCGCACGCGATTTGTTTACGTAATTTTTATTGTGCTCGCGCGACGACTGCAATTATTGCAATCCGTCATCAACTATCAACCTGACTAATTTGTGATGCGCACAATGGATTAATAATATTATCCACACGCAGGTTATTTATACTAATGTAAATTGTTTTGAACATACTGTATATTTAAATAGGAAGGTAATCTTTTTCCAGATGATTTGTATTGTCATTCTTTCAACTTCATTGATGGTCACTAGTCCAAAGGTACTCTAACCGGCCGCCATTTTGAATATTAAGCATCTATCAATATTTGTGTGCCTCTGTTCTTTGCTTAGCAGTAAATTGCCAATACCGAATCCATTAACATTCGCACGCAACTTGCCATGGGCCGCTGCTTCAGTCCAGTGTCATCCTCGCAAGTTTCATTAAAGTAAATTTACTACATACGATAAAAATTACACGTTTTTTGTTAAAAGTATAGGACGTGACATTGCACTCAGCATTTCAATGTCATGTTTCGGTATATCTGTGTTAAAATTTGCACTAAAAAACGAAGTGTCAATAATTATATTGCTAAAAATTTCATCTGTCTGTTGTTTTTCATTAATTTGCAGGTAATCATTAATTATATATGGCGTTTATGGTCATCGTAAATTAAATTGCGGTTATTTATCTCTTGGATACTGCGCGTACTAAAAACATCAAATGATAAATTTTATGTTGTTTGAAACATCGCAAAACACAGTTATTAAAATGTCTCATATTTTCAGGTGTAGAGAATCCATGAAAAACGTAAAAATCCTCATCTGTTTTGTTAATTATGTGCCATTTTTGACCCAATGGGCAATTATAATTATATGCGCTCGACGGAACAATAATAATTAACATGTTTTTATTGAGGTTTGTGGCGGGGCAAGATTATTGGTTTTGGGACATCGTAAATGAATAAAATCGAAAATATTAATTAAAAGTTAATAAATATCACGTGAAAAAAATTGTCATTGGGTTTAATTTGCTGATATAATTTTTAAATTAGGTATATGTTAATAATTTATTTGTAATACCTACAATTATTTTAGTCCTAAAGCAGATTGTATGTTCTATGACAGATGTGGTGCAACTTCTTGAAGTGAATATTCATGCCTGTGTTCTTTCTTCTTTTTGTATTGAGTTATTATCAATTTGTGGATTTGCATAAACTAGCTTTGGCGCCATTTCTCTTCTTTTTTGACCGACTTTCCTGTTCTTGGGCACAGCCTCTCTTCCTGCGGCATCATGCGCTCGTAAAGTAGTTCTCGTTTTGCATACTTTTACATACATGCTT